CCTGTGCAGATACGATCTGTCCTTAAATTAGACAATAGAACCAAAATGAGGTACTAAAAAGGCTGTTTCTTTCCTTCCTCTGTTCATGTGATACCTAAACTAAAACTGAAAGCTAAAAAAAAAAAGGGCCTTTTTCTCCCCTTGCCCTTTCCCAGTTCTGTAGTCACAGTGCTCCTTATAACCCAGATGGACGAATACATTAAAAACTGCTTTTAAACCACAGATTAAGAAACGGTGCCAGGATTTTCTACCAAAAATGTGGCACTGCTGCTAAAATCTGTTGACAATTTTAAAACAGTTTCTTCTGGCAGAAGAGATCCATTAATGTCTCTTCTTCTTTTCCAGGAAAATGAGTAAAACCTTTTTCTAAGTTTGAAGTTAATTAGCTTCCATGCTGTATTTCAGAGCTCACTGTAAATGTATGAACTTTTCCAGGAATGGGAGTTGGGACATAACAGAATCATCCATGATGTGAGAAAAACACATTGAAAATAAGGGCTGTGACTCTTCCTTACATCTGTACTTGGGTCCTGCCAAAGATGAGTGCGTAGATTTTAATTACAGCCATTCTGCTTAAGCCTTTGAAAATCAATTTAGAATGTAAATTTTGGATATTTCTTCCAAACGAGGGCAATCAGCATCACACAGACACCTGAGATGGGATTTCCTCTCACCTTGCATGCAGGCTTGCCCCATGCTGCAGGCTGGCTCTCTTGGCACGCAGGGCTGTGGAGCAGCCCCTGTCCTTGGGAGCCCTTTCTGTCGATGCAGCTTTTGCTCTGTGCAGTGCATGGGTTTGGTGCTGGCAATGAAAGAAATGTGAAACCTGCCTTTTTAAACGCTCAGTTGTTTCAAATGCCCCGAGAGAAAGAAAAGAAATTCTGAACACCCCTGATAAAAATAAACACCTTAACATTTCCCTTCAAATAACTGCACGTGTTATGACTGGACAAAAAGTTATTATTCCTAATTTGCTGTATGCACTGGAGAGCACATATAAAACTTGCACCCACATCCACATATAGTTTATGTATCCATATGAAAGCTCCACCCTTGCAGTGGCTCTTCTCCCACGCCTCTGCCAAATTCCTGCTCCACCTGTGATGCTCCAGGAATCCCAGGGAGCCTCTGTGAGGTGCCAGCTTCCCGTGCTCACCTGTATGTAGCACTGAAATGACTGTTCAGTTTCCAAAGTCGTGCCTTGTAAGGGCAGTTATCTTACCTTGATGTAAGCACACGGTGCATTAAAGTCAGTGCTGCTGTGTGTATTGCACTGTGACACAGCAGAGCACATCAGAGCTCCAAGTACTGCAGCACGGCTTTAAATGTCTTTGAGGGAATTTTTCAGTGCTGGTGCTCTTGGTTGAGGAAGCACCTGTTGCACCGAGGGCAGGAACTTTGCTTTGTGCAGCCTGTGGAGCAGTGTGGAGCCTGGGGCTGTGTGCCCATCTCAGGCAGCAGGCACAGATGAGTGTAGGTGTCCTTGTGTTTGGCATGCAGCAGTGCTCTCCTGCTGTCTGCTGGTTATGGGCTGTCGTGTGTCTGTCTTTCCTTCTTGATTTCTTGACACTTGTCTTTGACCCAATGATCTTTTCAGCTGAATGAGTGAAATGGATGGCTCTCAAACAGTACTTTTCTCCACATAAGAGATTATATAAGTGCTGGGACAGCTTCCTAGTGTTTTGTCCTGGCCAGCAGTCTAAGCAGATGCATTGTCGTCTTCCTGAATTCAATTGGTAACAATAATGTTTTTCTCTGACTGTGTTTCTGGAACCAATCTGACTGCTTTCCCTTCCCTTTCTGTACTACAGCATCCCATGGAGCTCTCTGCCCTGCATGCTGCCAGCTGTCTTCTGTGTTCCTGCTTAGCTGCCAAGACTCAGAAATGCTCTTTTTCTGTCACAGTGGTGAAAGGGATGGGATTAAGCATTTTAAAGGCAGATTGCATCTGCAGCGAGTGTCTGGGAAGGCCCAGTGCAACCATGTGTGATTTTAATGTATGGGCTGAAACTCATTTGTATGATAGACCAATGGGAATTTCGGGCAGCTCTTCTACACGACACCCTGATGCTAAAAAAACCCCAAAAACTCAGATGTAAAGCTCTTTTGGAAACTTGATTCATTTGTTTCATATCCTCTGTATCTTCAATTTCAAAGCCATTTAGGAAGATCGTTTGCACAAACACGAAAGCTCCCTTTAACTAAAGGCAGCTGATGTGTTTTTTCAATGAGATAGAGCTCATAAGAAAGACTCAAACATTAACTGTGTAAAGAAGGCAATTAGTGTTTGTACAATATATTGGAAATTAGCCGTAGGCACACTGGAAAAATACATGTTTTAAACATGTCTGTTTTCTGCCCAATTCTGTAGCTTATATTAGATCTGGACTTGGATATATCTAAAGGCCACCAAATGAATTCAAAGCTGTGAAAGACATTGTTACTGTCTCTAATAAGCTTTTTTTTTCTATAAAGTAGTTGTGTAATACAGTATAACTGTGTATATTTAATCACTCCAGGGAAAGTCCTTTTCTACTGCTGTAATATGTCAGGAAAGCTTACCTGCGTATAAACAGCAAAAAGAGACCTCTCCTGCATTACAGAGCTCTAAGGTCTTTGGTTTGAAAGCTGAGCATTTCTAAGGATGCACTAATTATGTCATTCTGATAAGAAGGGATGTCCTGCTCACATTGTCACCGAGTGCCACTGTCCATAGGTTTTAAAGCTGTCATAGGAATAGGGAAAAAGCCACTGTGGTCATAGGAATCAGTGAAAGACTTTCATAACCGTGGGAGGTTTGCAGGGAGCAACTGCCACATTATTTGTCTTGATTGCACATCCATTGTGGTGGATTTGGCTGCAGTGTGGGGGGAAACCAGGTCAGGAGAAGGGCCGAGTTCCTGGGACAAGAGAGAGGAACTGATGAAGCCAAAGAGAGAGAAGCAGTTAAAAACCTGATGGCAGTTTGAGAAAACATGAACGCTTCTATCATCTGTCGAGGGAAATGCAACTTCTTCCCCTATTCTTTTAGCCTTTGATCCCAGTTGGGCAAAGTGCAAAGCGGGGGAAATGGTTTGAGAGCCTCTGGTGCTGTGATGGGCACAAGCATCGTTTCTGCAGTCAGTCATGTTGAACTACTTGTTTATGTTCATTACCATGGGTGTATCACTAATTATCAGAGAGAAGCCTTTTTAGAAGACTGGGTGAAACTTGTGTTCATTTCTACAAGAGAACTCACTGAAGTGGAAGTGGCTGTGGGTGCAGCAGAGTGATGGCTGCCTCAACGTGTGGAAGAGAGCATATGGTTTCAGTAATGGGCTAATAAGAGCAATTAACCTCACAGTGCACTCATTTGTAAGTCCCAGTTGTTTATAAAGTGGATAATAAAGATATTGTAACATCATATAGCTTTATAGGAGATTAGGGAAATGAGGCTGTGTTTTTCAAGCTAGTGCCTGTTAGCACTCTGATGATAGCATAAGGAATAGAAACATAAAATCAGCAGAGGATGAAATACTTGGAGGGTTAGGCAGTGTATTTAACCAACCAATGTAAATCACCAGTGTACAGTGCCTTGAATAAAGGTTGTCCTTAGAAGAGGGGCTGCTTTGCAGGCAGCTCTGATGTTCAGCTTGCTCTTGCCACCTTGCAAAGGTTGTCACGTAAGCTGTTCCCATGCTTCATTTGTGGCATTGATTCTGATCCTGTAAAATATCTTATGCTGTAGTCACTGATGTTATGTTTGTCCTTTTTCGGCTTGCTGTCATTTGCCTCATGATTTAGCTTGTATTTGGGCTTGGGATTTAGCTCGTGATTACCCTAATGAGCTGTTGCCAGTTTTTCTTTGAGCTGAATTTCTGAGTCAGGAAAGCACTTGGATGGGGCACGGAGTTCTGTGGAGGCTCCCAGACTTGTGGTCTTGTTTTTTTCTGTTCCATTGGATGGGCTGAACAATGCGTTTGCTGGTGCAGCATTCCCCAAATATGAAGGCTCTTTTGCTTTATTAGACTTGACAGTGTTTAAACAATGCTAATTCTCATACCCAGCTGGCTTTTCAATTGATTCTGTGCTCTCTGTCGCTGTGTAAAACAAACTGAAGCATTAAAGACATCTTGCAAGCTTCCCTCTGGGGACTTGTCTTTCCTTAGAGAAAAATCAAGTATAAAATTTTGTGTTTTCTCCGTGTGTTTTCTGCTGGATCTTTAAGTGATATTTCAGTGCATTAACAAATGTTGTACAGAATAAGGTGCTGATTTTCAGGCACGTGCTTTGAAAATCAATATTTGTTTTCTAGCTGGATATGTGGACCAAATGTCTCTTTCTTCACCTGAAGCAGAATACACCAGTTGCAAAATTATGTTTAAGTTCTGCATAGAATTGCCATTTTAACCCAGCTAGAATCTTGCCTATTAGAAATTCGATTGCTAAACAAAGAACTTTTACAGATGTGAATCATTCGTTTCCCACTTTCAGCAGCATGGATGCAGGCTGATATTTGGGGACTAAGAATGAAATCAGAATTCCTGGGGGGAGTGAGGAGCAAAGCATTTTCTGCCCTGTGAACTTCAGCACTTTGCTCACACCGTTATGCAAAGCCTTGCAGCATACTGAGAAATGTGTTCTTTGCACTCAGCTGTGCTCAGCAGTTTGGCTGTGCTGGGCTCATGGCGCTCACAGCTCTGAGAGGAGGAGGGCCTTCATTTCTGACCTCAGGAATCAGTGCTTTCTGATGGAAATACTTCACATTCTTGGCCGTGGTCTCTCTCTTGGCCATGGTCTCTTCCTATGAGCTTTTCACTTCTTGCACAAAAGCCATCCAGCCTTGTTTTGCCACTTGTAGAAAAACACGTGCTAATATCCCACCAACACAACGTTATGCATCGACACAACGTCAAGCATGCAAAGTTACTTAGAATCCCTGTAGGAAATAGTGTGTGAACAGTAAATATTCTGATCACGCAATATTTTAAGCTTTTTATTTCTTTTTTAATGTATTGCAGCTGGTCTGAAAACCCAAAGGAATGGAAGTTTCAAAAGACGAGGCAGACCTGGCTGCTCTCACACATGTATGAGAAGGAGAAGGTTTGTATTATCAGGAGATGTTCTCACAATGGTAATGTTGTAAAGTTTTATACGTTCATTGTAGCTATTATTTATTAATCCAAGGTTACTAGCATTAGCTGTGCACTTTGCTAAAATACTCAGCCATTGTGATTGCTTGCTATTCACCTTTCTGTTTTGGGGTGGTTGTTCCATGGACACTACTAGACTAAAGCACGTCAGCCAAAAGGAGGAATGACGCTTTGTATAAACCTGAAACTTAATGAGAGTAGATTTGAACATATCCTTAATTTCTGGCTGTGGAATAGTGGGCAATATTGGTGACAGGATGGTTGGTCTGGGTGATTTTAGAGGCCTTTTCCAACCTTGGTGATACTGTGACTCTTAGCCATAGCTCGTGGATTGCTTCAGATGTCTCTGCTTCATATAAGACGTACGGATACATTGCCAAGATGCTAGAATAGCTTTCTCATTAGAAGTGAAACCTCATGTTGATTGTAGAAAGCATAACCAGAAGCCAGCCTTTCATCGTCACCCAAATCCATTCATTTCATAACTTAAAAAACAACATCCACATAGCTTCCAGTCAGCATCTGAGCACTGCAGTGCAGAGCAGAGCATTGCAGTGCAGAGCAGAGCACTGCAGCTGATGTTCCCGTTGCGTAACTGAGCACACATCTCTGCACAGCAGCTCCTTATTGATTCATTCCATTGGCATTCAGTCAGGTGTGGCTGACTGTGTGTGTGCACTTACACCCTTCAGCATCACCATCTTCCTGACCCAAACTGCACCAACCACCTGGCAGAAGGTGTTGCTTTTATGATTAAAAATACTTTCAGAGGACCCTATGATTAAAAGCAGAGCTTTGTGAAAGCAACAAGTGTTCACACACCGTAATGAGCTGCCAAATGCGTTTTTGATAATAGGTATCTAGTTGTTTGCATTGCCTTTTATTTTTAAGCTGTGCTGTTAAAAGGTTTATCCACCTTTCCAAGTCAATGTGTGCTCTTTAACTCTGCTTGGAAACTGCTTTATGGGCAGAATGGCATTTTTGCTCTTTTACCTGTTTGCTTTGGGGTTTTGTGTTGCAACATACTGGGAAATAATTAACCCTAAGTAGTGTTTGTGTTACAGATCAAAACAAGCTTCATTCCCTATTCTGTGACACTGAAATGAAAACCTCCTTTCTAGTTTTGTTGTGGGTTGTTTTTTTTTTCACGTGATGAAAGCATGATGATTTATTTAAATTCACAGTATTTTGTACTGTTTAATAATCAAAGATGCGTTGTATATGAGCTACAGATAATGATTAACATCTGCATTCAGATTCAGAACAATGAGCAGAGCCACTCAAGTGCTCATGATCAAGCATGTATGAAGTCTTTTTCATTGTCAGGACGAGGCAGGGCTGCTTTTGCCTGTGTTTTTATACCCAAATCTGATTTCCTGTCCATTATAGAATAAAATCCATCGGATATCTGAGCATGGCTACAGTACAAAAGGAGACTTCCTTCCTAAGCCACGTCTTTGATCTCTTGGTGTCACTTATATTCTTACTGAAAAGCCATGCCAAGAGCTAAATTAAGTCTCCTGTACTGATATTCTTCTTTCTGTAAGATATAAAGAGAGGTTTTCTAGTCATTTACAAAGCGATTTTTTTAAGTGCCTTTAAAATCCATCTGCTGTAGGCTGAAGGCTTCAGAGCTCAGGACTGCATACCTACAGTGTGTGCACTTCTTTGTGATCCTGTACCAAATGAATGCTGCATCACCTGTTGCTGGTTGTCCTTTGGCACAGCACTGTCAGCAAGGAACTGCATCGATTGTCCTCGGCCTCTGGGCTGCACATCCCTGGGTTGTGGAGCTCCTGCAGAAAGCGATGAGAAAAGCCAGGGTAATTGACAAGCAATACCTGCTTTTTCCCTGCTGTTATTCGTTAGCATTTCCCCATTTTCATGGTGTCACATGGTTCCTGAGCATTCAGGGGCTGGTGGTTATTGGCTGGTGGTTATTGGTTTGGCTGTTTCCACGTTAGTCTGCTCCAGTGCATGTTAGTTGGTCACGTTGGTTAGTCAGGCAGAGGCAAGGCGGGTGAGCAAGAGAGAAGAAACAAGAAAAAGGGAAAATGGGTTACAACAACCACAGTGAGATCCTGTAGGCATCACTTCGCTTGCCAGCACTTTGATGGGCCACCTCAGTACCCGATTTCAGCCCTCCCTGTTGGGAGCTTAAAGACAGGCAGCGCTCCTAAAATCTCACCAAGAGGCCCTGACATTGCAACCCCCCAAACCAATCCAACTAACTGTGATTGCACGCAGTGAGCTGTGATTGTGCCACGAGGTCTGAGCACAGGGGGTACAAATGATGCAGTTAATTTAGCTAAGGTGGAGCACAGAAATGTGGCTGAGCTTTAAACACCTGGTGCTGAGACCTGTGCTGGAGGACCATCGTGCTGACATTGTTTGCATCTCAGCATTTGTCTCTGTTAGCAGCGTGTGTTTACCCTGAGTAAAAGCAGTTCTAAAAGTGTTGGGGTTTTTCCATTGTTTTTCAGTGTGCTGGTTTTATATTACAGGCACACTTCGTGTATCATCAGTTTCAGTGTTAGCCATTATAAAGTTAGTATTTTTTTTATCTGTACTGTTTCTTTAGCACAGGAGTGTTTGTGTGAAGTCCATAAAGATTTTCATAGGGCATGAGTTACGAAGATGAGTGCAGGCTGCACCTTTGATTCACTGCTCTGTAATATCCCCTATTGATTAAGGCAGCATTGGAGTATTTTTTCTTCCTCTTTGAGAGCGATAGAAGTTTTAGTGATCACAGTTGTGCTGCCAAATGTCGCTGCAGAAATAAGCTGTAAATTAAGTGTCTGTTGAAGCTCTGTCTTCTCTGCTGTGTCGGTACTGCACAGGATTGGAGCAGCCCTCGTGCAATGACTCCAGGCCTTTAAATACTTACGTATGTGTTCAGCTTTGCTCACGCTGAGTACGCCTTGCAATGCTGTGTGTGTAAAGTCAAACAAAGAAACATATTTGCAGGGTGAGGTCACTGTCACATCTCCTGATTCATGGTAAAAATATTCTCTCATTGGCTCCAACCAGTTCCACAGATACACAAGGTGAAATGCCTCAAACAGATCTGTGCACCGAACGCTGTTGACAGCAAGCTGGTTCAAAATACTGCAGAATCATCAGAAGTCTTTGTGAGGTTGTTGCCAGGATTTCTTAATGGAGTTGTACGTTGCACCAGACAAGCTAAAATTTAATCTTTTACTGGTTAATTAGAAAGGAAGTAAAATGGGGGTAAGGCGACAGCAGATAACTAAACTGCTTTTGATGTCTGATGTGTTAAAGGAGTGCATCAGTTTCAGTCAGCGTGATTTAAAAATGATTTCCATATGTCTCAATTTTTTCAAATTACATCCAATTCCTTTGTGTAAGCATTCTGTCAAAGTCAGAATCTGTTGTGTGCTGCTGGGTGGTATCTCATCGTAGCAAATGGTTTTGGGTAGGAGTGAGGATACTTGCACAAAATTCTTTCCTTGGACACATTCGTGCCGTTCTCCTGAATTTGGTAAGGTTTGCATACATGTTTCCAAAACTAGGATCTGGCTAGTATGCTTCTTCCCTTCCAGCAGCTGGATCTCTCTCTCAGGCAGTGCTTGCGTTTGCTGATCATCAATTCCACATCTGCTCAGCATTTCCCCTCAGATGCTTTGCCCATCTGAGCCCACAACACTTCTCTCACTGCAATCTGTCCTTCCTAGCAGTTTGAGCATTGGCAAGAAACTCTTCCATTTGAAGGTGGGCATCAGCTGATGCAAAAGGCTGTGCAGTTCACCTAACCACCTTTCAGGTAATGCTTTGACATGACTGTGGATGAACATTGAAAGAGAAGAAAACAAAGCAGGTATTTTTAATTCCTTGTGGTTTTTTTTTCTTCACAGGTTCCAGATGAGCATTTCACCATTTTACTGGACTATCTGCAGGGCCTTAAGGGCAGTGCACGAGACACAACTGTGCAGAAAGCTGAAGCTCTGATGCAGGAATTGGATGGATCGGATGCAGAAGACCCAACCGTGATGGAGAAGTGCGAGCGCCTACGCCAAGTTCTGCAGCTGCTGTCTTGAGAGCGGTTCTGTGTCTCGGTGCTTGTCTGATGGAAAGAAGCACTGAACATCACGTGCAATACTTCAAATTCGTTGTGAAGACATATTTTGATAATGAATCTGAATACTGCATTTTCTGAATTTGTACTCGTGTTTTCAGCTACAAATATTTATCATGTTTTGAGGTGATGAAGTCAAAACTGAGCACCATATATGATCCATAGACATGCTGCATTGATTAAAAGCAATCTCACTGCTTATCTTTGGAAAAATACACCTCTCTTGTGAGTTTTTCTCCAACTCTCTGTCTAATTACTGCTCAGTAAGAGGAGCTTTGCAGTTCTTAACAAGAAGAGCAGAGCAGCCAACAGAAAGCCTGGAGGCTCCTTACAATGGCAGCTTGTAGCATTAGCATACAGTGCAGTGTTTGCTCAGCCAGCTGCAGTCTGTCACTTTCAGCTTCAGAAGTGTGTCATTTGGATTTGGGAAAGATCATTTTCAGTCTGTTGAGCACGGGTTGTATAACACAGTTCCTTATTAGTACTTCACGCAGTAATCAGGAGATACCATCAGCTTTGTTAGTTTTCCTTGTCTATTTCAAAGGTTTTCAGTGCTTTGCAGCAATTGTTTAGATACTCAGATAATGCACAGATGGGAACAGCTCAGATCTTCTGACCATGCGTAGTGAAATCATCTGATTGTACCCAAACTCACCCCATGATGAGAAGTGCTGCACAGCAACGCTTTGAGTGCCGCCTGCCAATGCTGTGTTTTCATTTTTCTCTGTAATTGGTGTCCAAAAGAGTAAATCTGCGTTCATTTGCGTTGACATGGGGCATTTATCTCCTATGAATGTGCTAAAAGTGAGGCTTTCGAGTGAGAACCAAAGACATCAATCACTCAAATGTTGCAGTATTGGCTTATGATTTAATAACACATTCAATTCTGTGTTCTTGACCTGATTCTTTAATCTTCCTGCAGATATTGTTCATGCTGTATTACCAACAACTTTATCGAATGTGTATTTTAGAAGAGTGGCTGTCTTTGGGAATTACTGCTTTAATGTGGATGGATGAAGGAGGGGAGAATCTATGGACATGCTGGCCTAATTTTTCAGTAAGAAGCGTTTGAGTGGATTTGACAGCCTTCACAGTCACAGGTTATTACAAGCTTTCAGAAGTATGAAATGTATTCCTAGTAACAAATAACTTAAGATCTGGGCTTCTTGAAGGTGAGGTTTCCAACCAAAGAAGACCTGTTGTTAGCCCAAGCAGAAACCAATGCTTTTTTCTCTCCATCAGAAGAGAAGATGAATTCTAAGGGGTGAAGTTTTCTAAGTGTCTTGTTGGGATTTTATAATTGCATTTTGGGTGTCAGAGAAGAGTTGTTCTCGCTTCTGCTTCCTGCTCATCTTAGGATTTTAATCTAGAAATCTACATTGCTTGATGATTATATTTATCAGGATTTCCTCCGTGATGTGTTTTTTTACATGATGGGGTGGGTAATTGCAGCTATGGGATTCCTGCAGCTGCTCAGAGCTGTGCAGGCAGACACAACCCATCACTTCGTTCACTTTGTTCCATCCTTTGGTCACGTAGAGTTTGCAGATGTTAATGTTGTTTGTAGCCTAGACTATCTTATGGCTGCAGACAGGGCAGAATCGTGTCTGGGTTTCCATGCCATGGCTGCTGTGTTAATAAAAATTGAGTCCCAGGCGAGAGGTAACAGTGTGCATGGACAGTCTGACTAATTGTGTCTTCATCTGCCAGCTCTGATCGTCTTCTTGTTGGGCTAATCTGCATTGTGGAGCTCCAGCTGTAAGGATCCTGTCTGAAGAGAGTGCTGAAGTCAGGGCTTCCAGGCAAAATAAAGGAACATTAATTACTCAAAATTGCTTAAAGCTGGAATTGTGCCTCTAATGACAGCACTAATTACTCAGTATCTGACAACGTGAAAAGTTCCCTTTAATTTGACTGATCCTGGCTGTGGGTTGTATATCTTGTTGGCTCTCCACTGTCTCCCCGGTTTTAATTTGTTATCATCATTGGAATATTACTGAGTCAATGAATTCTCTTCTCATTCAGAAGGGATATATTGTGGCTGTTTGGGCATGTAATTTATTTCCTTATTTCCTCCTACTGGAGAATAGTTCTGCTGTGTTTTGGTTCAAGGTGACTCTTGACTTATCTCCCATCCTTTCAGGCAGTACAGAAATGCACTTCAACTGGGGCTTGGTGGGCTTTGGTTGGTTGGGTTTGCTCTGCTTGTTTTGTTTTTGACTTTTGCCGCTGAGGCAGAGCAGAAAAAGCAATACTGAAAGGGACTTCAGTTGCAAAGGCAGCACTCGGAAAGTTAGCAAACATAAGAATGGAAAATCTTTATAGAATTTTGATTTTAGTTCATCACTCATATGCAACATGATGGATCGGTGCTGTGTTTGCCACTGTCTTGTAACTGGTAAGTCATTTATTTGGCATTTATCCTGCCAATTCTGCTGCTGTTCTCATTTTCAGAATGAGCATTTAAGCTGGAAAAGTAACTCTGCGATGTGGGTTTGGTGCCACGCAGAAGAAGCCAGTAGGAACTTTCCTGTTAGTTTCACTTAGTGCAGGATCCAGTCACAGAAGTTTCATCACAAGCAACCCCTTCAAAACATGCTTTAATGTTCTGATTCACTTACAGTCAAAATACTGAATTGATGTTACTTAATTTAAACTCAGCTTTGTTGACATAAAACTTTCCAGTGGTTTATTCTCGTTGGGGCTTTGGTTTCCTTTTATGTCTTCCTTTCTGTATGGCTGAGTGAGCCAGTTATTTCTGTGCCTGCAAATAGGAGTATTAGTTGTGTGCAGCGACTGCAGTCATACAAGGACACAATTAAATGTCCTTGCCTTTGCAGGATGCTTAGCAATGATTTATAATTACGTTCTATTTTAACTTCTTCATAACAGCTTACAGAGTCAACAACTCAGCGTGGTCAAAAATAATTATTTCTCAAATTCTGTTTTCTCTTTTTCCTACGAGGAGTGGAGAATACCATGCTAAATGCAGCTGATGTATAAATGACGGAGGGAGGGCGATGCAAAACAGTGGTTTATCTTTCTTTGTCCAAACAAAGCTGAATAAGAAGCTTGTGCTGTGAGGAAAGTTTGGCTGGGACATGGAGGGAGGGACCTTGGGATGAACACAGAGCACTCATGCAGTCGCTCTTAATGATTTCTCTTTTTTCCTACATGCAGAAAATTGTTGGCATTCCCCAATAAAACCCACAAACACACCTACGTCAAAAATGTAAATAGGTTTCAGAATCAAATACTGAAAGGTCAGGAAATGCCACATGTAGATACGTGGCCAGAAGAATTCTGGTCCTACCTCTCTGTGCCTCCAACCTGGAGGCTGAATTAAGGGGAATTGTGTTAGAAACAAACACATGAAACCCCCCAAATATGTGAGCGCTCAGTTGAAGGTTGTTCCCCTTCACGCCCCCCTGCACAGCAATTTCCTATCAGTTTTAGTGATTTTGATTGTTTTGAATGTTTCTTGATAATTCAGGTAGCACACAGCCTTTTGCTGTCACAACTGACATCTGTTTTCTTTATGGTCTCATTGTATTTTAGAGAACTGTAAGCCTTGGGACACAGAATCTGTCCCTCTCATTTGCTTTTATAAATAGCCAGGCTGGCTGCAGCCCTGCCAAAATCCCCAGTGGTTGTGGAGCTCCATTGGGCCCAGAGAAGGCTGTTGAAAGGCCACGCTTCCGTGTGCTCTTCTTGAGTTACAGCAGCCTTTGCCAGCATCCTTCGTACCAGACGGGCTTCCCTAAGCCCCATGAAATTGCCCAAATCTGATGCAGCCAAGCAAAGGGCAGCACGTCTCTGCTTTGTGATGGGAGGCTGCAGTGTGTGGGCACACGGCCTGGCGCCTGCCTTGCTTTGCTGCCCGGTTCTGGTCTGTTGAGACTCACAGCCATCTTATTTGTCTGCTTTCTGTGGGCTTAACTTGACCAAACAGCTGGTTTACAAGCTCTTGGGGTGTGCTGAAAGCTTGAGCTGCAGCGTAGGACTGCTAGCATTGGTACGTGCCAATAGACTTCGTGGATTTCACAGATCTGTGCTGACGGTGTCACTGGAGCACGAGCAGCCCCAGAGTGTGAGCGTGGCCAGCGTGGTCTGACAGCTCTGTGTGGCTGCACACCAGTGGTTGTTGTATCATATCTTCTTTTGCACAGCCCAGGCTGCAGGATGCTGTCCTTGGAAGGAAAGTGGCAGCCAGCTTGCCAATTGCTTCCAGAAATTGGTTCAGGCTTAGAAAATATTTAAAAAAAAAACCCAAGGGTTTCCCTTTTGTTTTCTGAATCCTTTTTTATATTATTTCAGCTGTCTTTAGACAAAGGAAGGGGGAAAAAAATTAACCACAGAGAGAGGGTGAGCACATCTTTGACGTTGTTTAATAAGAAAATATGGACTTGTGTTGAATTACACAGCTAATGAGGAGCAGACAGGCGGTCTCAGCCCTTTCTGGGTGGCATTTTCAGTGCCAGCAGAAGATGAAAACACAGCAGGTGAGTGCGGGTTGATGCTGTCCCCATCACAAGTGCCATGGATGGTCACTTCTCTGAGAGAGGAATGGAGGGGCTGTGACAGATGCAGTCCCTTTGGCTGCTGCTGGTGCTCCCATCCTGCCAACAGCAGGCAGCTCCTAGCTGACCTTGTGTGCACCACTGTGGGGTGGGGGTCCTCCACATCTCATAGAAGTCTGTTAGCAGCCTCTGTACAGCTGCTGCTCAGCATTGCCTGTGGGCAGACATCAGAGGGCATGGGAAATGGGGCTGCTGTGCTGGGGGATGGGAGCTGCCATGTGCATGCCCTGGTGTCAGCAGCCCTATGCATTGCCAGGGCTTGAGTTTGATTTTGGGATGTTTTTTAGAGAGCTGAAGGGTGTTCAGCCGGTGATGGGAAAGGTGTTGTCAGTAGTGTGGCACATTTTGCTGTAGAAATCTGAAAATATCAAAGATTGCATTATACTGCTGGAGCCCTGTGGGTTAAAACGTGCTGTAACGTTTCAGGGTCTTTTGGTAGTATTTGAAAGTGATAAAGCAGTGGTCTCAGCAGAAGGCTAGCTGATGTCTCAGCTGGCTCGTCCCAACAGTCCTGCCATTCACTCAGCAATGACCTTTAGCCAGGTCACCTTATCTCCCTTGCGACTCAACTGGATCGTTATAAGGGGCACCAATGTGACATTCTCTTGAAATGGGTTCAAAATCTGCCCCGAGCTCCTCTGTGGGCAGAGGGAAGCACTGTGCCTGCAGGCCTGCTCTGAGGTCGTGGGGGTGCTCAAGTCATTAGGATTAGTCCATAAAGCCCCTCGTAATCCACATCCTAAGAATCTGAAAGGTCACTTGTGGTCCTGTAATCCCCAGTAGTGAACGGGAAGAATTAGTGGTGATTGTTTTGATCCTAAAGCACCTCTTAAGATAAATGCTGGCCTCTGCCCCAAAAGCATATGTGTGTTATTTCAGTGGGGTCCCAGAGGCTGTGCAAAGAGTGAGCAGCTGGGCTGTCACACAACATGACACGGCACAGAGTGTTTAAGAATCATTTTAACGTTGGAAGGGATGGGCAGGAGGATGCGTGTGCCCACCCGCAGCCGTTGTGTTGCACCTGCTCAGCACCAGGATCCCCACACCCTCCCCAAAACCTCCCTGCGTGGCTGCTTGTGCCAACCAGAAGAGCAGAGGGAACTCTGGGGCTGGGACAGCGGGCTGGGATCCTCCTGTGGCGCTGGAGGGAAATCGTGCTGGAGAGAAGTGGCACATCTGCCCAGGGGTGCAGAGCGGGTGCCAGGCAGTGATGCTGTGGATGCGGTTGTCTCAGCGCCCCGAGGTTTGCTGTGATGTATGGATGCATCAGTGCTGGTGGTGTCAGGGCGTGTGCCTGTGGCAGGGAGGTTGGAGATTCGTGATCCTTGATGTCCCTTCCAACCCATTCTGTGGCTCTGCGGAAGGGATCTCTGAGCAGTGTAACTGTATGGGAGCGCCTGGCTTTGCCCTGCACAGTGGTGCCGGCACCCTGCCCTTGCCGTGTTCCATCGGGGGCTCCCTGGGGGCCACCCAGCCCTTACTGCGGGAGGGAAAAGCAGAGGGAAGGAGATTAAAAGATTTGCCAGCAGCAGCAAGCAGTCAGCGGCTGGGCTGGGAATAGAAACCACACTCCTGGTTTCCACTCCCTGAACCTGGCCGTCAGACTGTATTAGAAATCCGAATGCAAATACAGGGAAACGTTTCCTTTTTCAAACCCGCCCTGCTCACAGGTTGTCCCTTCGAGTCGGGGCTGCTTGCAGTGAGGTGACACACAGCACCCAGCAGTGCAGGCCCTCTGTCTGCGCTGACACAGCAGCGTTCAGTAGGGCAGTACTGTGTTTAAGGAAGCGCGGAGGGATGCGGTGGTGATGGCCATCAATAGGCCTTTGTGTTCCCCAAAATGTTCCCTCTCACAGCATGCCACAGGCTCGAGGTTGGCAGCTTGGGAGCAGGCTGGCATTTTAACTAGTAGGTATTGGAGGGTGGTGGTGAGTCAGACACAAGTGAGATGTGCAGCAGAACAGGGCCGAGGGGCCGGCAGTGCCATCGATGGTCTTTGGGTTGCCTTTGGGTTTGTGCTCGCTTTGTTCTATTCCCACATTGCTCCTCCATGTCGTAAACAAGCAACAGGATCAAAAAGTAAAAGCAGTGTGTGGATGCCACCCAACCAAACAGGCAGAGCAAACTGCACGGGAGGAATAGCGTTTGGAAACGCAGCACTGAGTCATCAAATAGAGTCCATGTTAAAGGCTCTCAGAGAAGCAGTTTGGGAGCAATCTCCTTCTGAAGGAAGGGCAGCTGGTTGCCTCCGTGCTCACAGGGCCGTGGTCAGGGCTGCGTTCTGCTGGTGTCGTAGCCCTGTGTCTGTGTGTCATGTTTGTGTATGGTACTGAAAGGGCTGCAGGAGGGAAGGGAATGTGCTCTGTGGTGGTTCTGTGTCACAGGACAAAGGGGAAATGGTTTCACACTGAAAGAAGGCTGATTTAGATTTGTATACGAGGATAAAGTTTTTTATGATACAGGCAGTGAGACAGTGGTGAGGGGTGCCCAGAGAGGCTCTCTGTTAGTGCTACTGCTCGGGGCTTAAGCAGTGAGTTGTTCCCCTGCCCCTTGCTGTGCAGTTACAGTGTGACACCCCCAAAATGGGGCCGTTGTGCCCCACTGCCCCTCACTGGCCCCAGGGCTGAGGCAGGAGAGCTCAGCTGCTGGCTCTGGTCCTCTGTCAGACAGCAGTTAATTGGGAAGGGCTCAGCCTCCAAATGCTTTGCAAACACCAGGGTAATGACTTCCTTTCCCAGGCCGGTGGGTGGTTGGCACTCCGGGTAAGAGCTTCTCTTCCTGTGACTCTCCTGTGCTGCGTGACCCTGCTTGACCCAGGGAGGTTTGACTTTTCAAAAGGTTCGTTTACTCCTAGATAAAGATTAATTTTCATTTTAATTTTTAACCTTAAATCTCATGGGAATGTGTTTTTGCATTCCATCCAAGATGCTGTTATCTGTGCCCAGCTTTGCCCCCTCCATGGCTTGCTTCACCTAGGAGGTAATGAGTAACCCCTGTTCCTCTGCTGGGCTGGGACCCAGTGCTGGGCTCCACGTGGTTCTGTGTCACAGTGTGAGGAGGTGCAGCTCCTACACCACTGCCTTTACACGGAGCCCCAAAGACCTTCCAGCAATGATAGTAGCAATGCTGGGTCAGCCCCAGGGGAGCTGCAGCACAGGGCTGCCCTCACAGCAGAGCCCTCTGCTCCCAGCGCTCTGCCCAGAGCTGCACAGACAGCCCTTGTCCCCGCGGGGACACGCAGCACTTCTCCAGACTCCCGGTCTCCTGCTCTCACCGCAGGAAAAGGCTGTTGTGTGTAATGAGGGCGGGTTTGGGAGGGAGCACCGCGGGGTGGGAGCCGTGCTTGGTCTCCTCTGTCTGGCAGCTCTCACTGCACTCAGTGGGAGCAGCAGGCCTGGCACGCAGCCACGCAGCAGCTCTGCAAGACACACGGGTCTTGTGTCCCTTTTGGTGGGTAAAGAGGGGAAGTGGCACCAGGTGACACTCCGCAGCCGCAGGAAGAAGTGCACCCCACTCATAAAAGCAGGACGCATGGAATTTAACCACGGCTCTGGGGTTTGCGGTGCGGAATTCATTTTTCACCAATGTCTGCTCCAAGCAGCAAGGAACACCGTCTGTGTCTGCAATCCCTTGCAACTGGGGGGGTCCCTGCACAGGGATGGACCTGGTGGTGCTGGGCAGCTCCCAGCCCTAAATTCCCTGAGTGAGGCTGGGAAAGGGACTGGAAGCCCAAAGCAGAGCAGAGGAGCTGCATGTGGCTGTGTGATGTGATGGCACAAGGTGTGCTGCAGGGCTGCAAGGGAAGGAGGCGTCTATAGGTAGAGCTTTAGGACAGCCCAGATTCAATAAATAGGAAGAGATAAGGAACAGAGCTCCAAATCTGCAGAGGGAGCTAACAAGTGCATCCCGAATCTTTTGCAGATTGCCTGGTTCTGTTTTTCTTTATGGGAGAAAATGCTTCGCTGGAGGGGCGAGCAGCTGGAAGGGGCTGTGTGCAGCTTCATGCATCCCCTGGAGCAAATCAGTGCACTGCAGGACCTGGTGCACCTGTGCTGTGCTGTGCTGTGCTGTGCTGCAGGGTGGGTGCTGGCTGTGAAGGATGATTTGGAATTGGCATTTGTAAGCTGTCAAAAGCGCATGGTGAAGAGCTGCTGGTGTCCACAGATGAGGTTGGATGAGAAGATGGAAGAGATGAAGAGAGGGAATATAAAGAGAGATTTCATGATTACTGCTTAATTGTGAAACAGGTGTGGGTCGCTCAGGTTCTGGGCAAATTATTGCAGGCAGAAGAATTGCAGTGAACCCAGTCAGCTCCATGGCGTGGGAACCCCACACCTCCCCGAGCTGTGTTTGGACTTTGCCTTTCACAGACAAAAATTCCCAATTTTGTGAGGTATGGGCGTGGAGGGGAGGATTGTGCAAAGCCCAGCAGCAGCCCTGGCATCAAATACTCTCAATAAATACAGTGTGAGTGTCCTAATCAACAACTCTCAGCAGAGTGCAGAAGGCCAGGCTCCGCCAGCATGGCTGCCCTGGTGCCCCTGCTCACCTGTTGGCTCTGCGCTGCGCTTTTCATCGCTGCACTCCTCTGTGTTGTAAAAGGTTTTAAACGATCAGCTTTAAATTTACCTCCCGGTCCGTTTCCTCTGCCCATCATCGGCAACCTGCACCTGCTGGACATCAGGAGGCAGGACAGGTCTCTGATGAAGGTAGGAGCAAGCACACGTGCTGCCTGGGGCCCTGGGAGGGGAATGGCTGCACTTCTCCCTCCAATGGCAGTTCTGAGATAACTGCTCCGTGCCACATGCTGAGGTTTTACAATGTGATTTAATGAACTAAATGCAAAGCTTTCCGGATGATGAAGGAAACTGTTCAACCCCAACTCTGCAGAGTTTGGTGGGCTGTCAGTATGTAAGAGCTGCCCACACAGTGAAGGCTATGAGTATCTGCATCAGTTTGGGTGGATGAACGTAAACTTTGGCATCTTTATGCTGTGAAATACTCCAAAATATTTGAGTGTCCACATGGCCAAATTGGAAGGCGGATGCTTAGTTGTAGTTGCCAAAATAGCTTGTATGTCTTGCTCGTCATGCTGGTTTTCTAGAAGGGAGTTAGTGTAGCACAGCCTGAAGAAAAGATATAGGGGAAATAATTTAAAACCATGAGTGGCTTGGACTTGGAAAAACATGGGTAGGGTAGGATGTCCTGAGCTAGAAGAGACCCAGGAGAATCACCAAGTCCAACTCCTGGCTCCACGTGGCCTCAAGCTGCACCAGGGGAGGGACAGGTTGGACAGGAGGAAAAATGTCTCCAAAAAGAATGGTGCAGCACTGGCACTGCTGCCAGGGAATGGTGGGGCCACCAGCATGGAGGCGTTCCAGAACCACAGAGATGTGGCACTGAGGGATGTGGTTTGGTGTCGTGGTGGGGGTGGGTTGGGGTTGTGCTTGGTGATCTTAGAGGTCTTCTCCAACTTCAACGACCTCACCAGCAGAGCAGGACGTGGTGCTACCGCTGACCACTGATTTTTCCTCTCCTTGCAGATTTCGGAGAAATATGGGCCAGTGTTCACTGTCCACCTGGGGATGCAGCAGGCGGTGGTGCTGAGCGGCTACGAGGCGGTGAAGGATGCCCTTCTGAACACAGCGGATGTGTTTGCAGACAGACCTGCTATCCCCATCTTCCATCACATCCAGCATGGAAATGGTACCGGTGCCTTGCACAGATCAGGGCACGCTCACTCTGCTGTTTTCCAGACGTGTTCTTTCAATTTCAACCACATTTAGGAGTCTTGAGCCCATCGATGGCTACACGGGGAGGGATTGAGGCAGTTTGCTTTCTGCAGAACAGCAGCTGTGAGCACCTTCCTATTTGCCTTATCCTTTTTTTTTTTTGCTTTTTGCAGTACTTGGGTCACATTTCCAGGGTTCTGCTGCAGTGCAGAAGGAAGGAAATTATTTTTCACATGAAGGCTGATGTCCTTATGCAATCTCTCTTCTGCAGTTACTGGCAGTTCAGACAGAGCCTGGATCATGCATGACTCATGATAAAGACTGCAAGAACTGGCAGGAGTGCAATAGCACGAGCTGTTTGTACCTCAAACAATTACTTCTGTAAACAGATTTCTGGCATATTTCTGTATTGCATGCTAAGAAGTAATACATTGCCCAAGACGAGACATTGAAAAACAGTGAAGGGAATAATCCAGGGCTGAAAGGAAAAGATTTGATGACCTAATACGTATATAATGCATACAGCGTGTGGGGTTTTTTCATCTTGTTTTTAAAAGTGAGGCCCAGAGTGAGGAGGGGTGCACTGTGTGAAGATGTAGACCGTGCTCAGCCCTGGAGCCAGCTGGGCAGGGAGCACCACAGTGGCACCAGGGCTGCCTGCTGTGCTGGTCTCTGCCAAACAGGAGAGCTTTTGGCATCACCTAAGGGCCAGCTGGGGAGATTTCCCAGCTGTAAGCTGTGGTACCTCCCTGCCATCCCTCCTCGTCCCCTTGCACAGAAGAAAGTTCATCCTCTAAAACTGCAACAGGGAAATCGTTTGTCCCGTTCATGACACGGACAGAGCAGTGTCGTCTGCTCCGAGCCTTGCTCTCTGAAACAGCTGCGTTGTTTTCCTGGAGGAAAACAAGTCAGCCTGAGACAAATACCACACGTAGAGATTTTGCTGTGTGTGGCTGCGAAGGGACGAAGCTATAAATAGGCAAAACCCAGAGGTGTGAACAGCAGTTTGCTTCCTGCCCTGTGGAACCTGCATGGGGCTGGGCTCTCCCGGGGCAGCCCTCCCCCAGCACCCGGCCCTGCATGTCACAGAGCCCCTATGTACCGAGCAAACCCCACAGCAGCTGTGCAGCCACACCATCCATCCCTCCGTAGGTGTGTTCTTCTCTTCCCAAGAGCTCTGGAAGACAACACGGAGGTTCACCTTGGCAGCTATGCGGGAGCTGGGCATGGGGAAGCGGCTTGCAGAAGAAAGGATGCTCGAGGAGCTGCAGTTTCTCACTGAGCTGATCAAATCCTTCCAAGGTGAGCTGGGCTGTTTTATTACTTTGCAGAGCCACTGCAAAGACCTCAGGGTTGCTCTGGAAGACAAATGCAGGTGATTTGGGCCATTTCCAGGTGGGCCATTCCGACTTCGGCTTTTGAACACAGCCCCCACCAACATCACCTTTGCTATCCTATTTGGGAGAAGGTTTGACTACGCAGACCCAACGTTTGTCACTCTGCTACGACTCATTGATGAAGTTATGCTCCTTCTTGGCTCCCCATTCCTGCACGTAAGTCACCCCCCATGCTGAGTGTAATTGATTTATAATTCATGGGAAAATCAAAAATGATGCTCTAATAGTTTCAAAAGAAACGTATTTGGCTTGCTAAACATTTGGAGTTTTCTTTGCTAGAGCTTCATGCTTTATCTTTTTGCTTTATTACCTCTTTAAAAATGTAATTTCATTGTTTCATGAGTTCACTATCACTTTCCCTTAATTGTGTTCTTTTAATTCATGTTTATAGGCTGTGTCTAGACAACTCTGATAGCTCCCATTCATTTCTGTAAAGAATTTTTCGTAGGAGACATTTTTATACACTACATTTGTTTAGTTAGCTAGAAAGAGAGACTCTCATACCGTGTCATTTGATTCCTCACCCAACTGATGTCTCACATATGATCCTTAAGTTTTGCAGTCTTTTACAGAACGTTTTTTTGTTTTTTTTCCCATGTTATTTTCCCTCTTTTTTTAGCTATTTAATTTCTACCCATTTCTTGGATTTCTTCTCAAACCTCACAAGATGATACTGAAAAAAGTAGAAGAGGTGTGTGTGATCCTAAAGAAACATATCCAGGAAAGCAAAGCAAATATTAATGGAAACAGCCTGATGAGCTACATTGATGCTCTGGTCTTCAAACAAGAGGTATTTCAGCATTGCAGTGGTCACTGATGTGGCATCTTGTGCAGAGCCACACTGCTGCAACGTTCTGTCTTCCCGTGCTGACAGCACTGCCTTTTTCTGTTTATTTCCCTACAGGAGGATAATAAAAGCAATACCATTTTTCACGATGCAAATGTGTTGGCCTCTGCTCTTGACTTGCTCATGGCTGGCACTGAAACCACATCCACCACCCTGCAGTGGGCCGTCCTGCTGATGATGAAGTACCCCGAGATTCAAAGTGAGACAGCTTTGTGGGCTCACTTCTCTTACACAGGGAATTAAAGCACTCTGCAGTGATTTCATAAATGCTGCTCACCTGCAAAAGCCCCATAGCTTCTCTCCAGGGCGTCCAAAATCTGAGTGCCCGCCATGTGTCCATCTCTGTCCAAGCTTTGTATGCTGCCCTTCAGGACTGAGGGATCCGAGGGCTTTCTCTCACCTGCTGCCAAGGGCTGCATATCTTCATTGCATCCCGGGGGGGTTCAGCCAGCAGTCACCATGGGTCAGGGTTTGGAGATGATTTCCTCACTCGATGCCTTTCCTTTGACCACAGAAAAGGTGCATGCAGAGATTGAGCGCGTTCTTGACCCTGGCTGCCTGCCTACCTTTGAGGACCGGAAAAGCATGCCCTTCACCAACGCGGTCATCCACGAGGTGCAGAGATTTGTCACCCTTCTGCCACACGTTCCGCGCTGCACCTCTGCTGACACCCATTTTAAAGGCTATTTCATCCCCAAGGTACGTGCTGCTCTGCAGCCCAAGAGCGGGCGGTGGCACACGGGGCAAAACGCTGCGGGCAGATTTGGAGTGTGGGCTTCTGCTCAGAGCTCAGTAACAGCACAAAGTGACGTAGTCGTAGGTTAGTCAATAATTCCAGCAAAGGCAGTATGTAATAACTAGTATCACTTGATTACGTACAAACCTAGAAATCGCTCCTCTGGAAGTTTGCTTGAAGGCCCAAAGGGTTTGTATGCCTGCATGGCCTTCAGCTGAACACAGCTGTGTTGTAGGGAACAACAGTGATTCCTCTGCTCTCCTCGGTGCTGCTGGATAAAACTCAGTGGGAGACGCCGGATGAATTCAACCCCAACCACTTCCTTGATGCAGATGGGAACTTTGTAAAGAAGAAAGCGTTTCTGCCCTTCTCCACAGGTGACAGAAGGGTTTGGGCTGGCACAGGGCTGAGTGTGCAGGCAGGTGTTGGGCTGTGAGCTCTGGCAGGAGCAGCACAGGTCAGCAGTGGGGATGCTGTAGCAACATTCACTCTGGGTTTCAGTGAATTGCAAAATTCCGTCCTCAGTGAGAAGCACACCGGGCCCCAGGGTTTAAAGATACCTCTGGGATGTAGAAAACTCAAGCAGGAGTTCTGCCTTCTCTCTCCCTTAGGAAGAATGGTTTCTAGGTTGTCCCAAACCAATGCCTTGCAGGCTTGGAGTGAAGCAGCCTTGCTCAAATACGTATGGCAGACCAGTGGCAATGGCTGCTGATCATCAACCCACTACGTCTGCAGTTCTGCAGCCTGTTCTGTCCCTCACACTGTTGCCACTGAGTGGTAGGGAAGAGTTCTCAAGGAAACTGCCAGCCCACAAACCGCTGTGCTCTTGGCATCGCAGGGCGGAGAAACTGCATTGGAGAAAGCCTTGCCACTGTGGAGCTCTTCATCTTCTTCACGGGCTTGATGCAGAAGTTCACCTTTAAGCCTCCCCCCGGGGTGAAGGAATCAGAGCTGAACATGGCAGCAGAGGCCGGGTTCACCATGCGGCCGTCCCCGCAGTGTGCCTGTGCTGTGCTGCGCCGGGAGCCCCAGCCTCAGAGTGCACAGCATCCCATGTAGCTGCTCTCTGCAGAGCCCAGCAGATGCACACAGGAGAAACCAGATCTCACTATGCAGTATTTAGCAGCAATTCTTACCCAAAGCCTTTCAGTTACTGGCGCTGTGCTTAAAATGTGCTGAGCAAATGGTTTTGTACGAAGCAGAGGAGAGCTGGGTCTGAGGTGAGCTGGGAATAGCACCCAAAACATGACGGGGAGTGACAGAACCATCACTGTTTCACACATTAAATGCACAGTGAAAGGAAATGTTCCCAGTTCTCAGCTTCTGAGAGAATGTTTCTCATGGGCGGTTTGTTCCTTCATTTGGAGAGTGACATTAGATACAGATTGTCTCATTCTCGCTTCCGTGCTCTTCTCCCATTACTTACTGTACCTGCTGTGATGAAGTACTTCCAGATACCTGCACCATGTCCAGTGGATGCCCTTCCTGTACTTTCCAGTCTTCTGATTTTCAACCCCAATACCAAACCGTGACCTTTTAGGTTCCTGTACTCTGAGGGATCTCATCACACCCCTTCACTACTGATGACAACAGGACTCTCGTTTCCAGCAGCTCACTTCTTCCTTGGTCTGAAATGCAGAGTAGGGACCAGAAGGATTTGACAGGTCTGCAATGGGGGGTGGGCTGAGCCAATGCCCTTCAAAGAGTTTGCACAGGTGAACCCCATGGAAAGGGGCTGTCTGCTGTAGGGTGGGAGGAGGGCAGCTCCCATTACCTGCACACCACCTGATTCTTCCAGGCTAATGGCGAATAAATAGTGCACATCTCTTTGCTCCTATCCTCGCTCCCAGGTGAGTGCAGTTGGACTGGGGGTTCATAAAGCTGCGAGGTGTTCCCTGCGCGGAGCCCTGGCTGTGGCTGACAGGGCATTCTGGCCCAGTGAGAACTGCAGTGACTCGGAGGGATCGTGGTGCCATCTCGTGGCAAAAGGGAAATAGAGATCATCTGCGTGATGGTTGCTCTGGCCAGCGTGCAAAGGGGCTGCAAATAGAGGGGCAGTGTTCGTTGCACAAGTTGCTGCTACTCTGGCACCTGGCCATCGTCCCTTGGACAGCAGAGCCCCGGGGAAACCACTCTGCTGATATGGAGGCTCTCCAGCTGAGCCATTTGTGATAGGATCAGGGCATGCAGAACCTCTCAGCCGTGGGGTACGAGTTGAACCAATTGTGTTATTGGCACTCTGGGCTCAGGTTCAACTCCATGGCGTTTGCTTTTCTGCAAAGTACAAAGCTTGGTGGCAGAAACATCTGATGTAATGAAAACGTGGGAGAATTAAAACTTTATTGGGTTCCCGTAAAGGGAAAGATATAAACAATGTGATAAAGCACACGATAAGATAATGCATATGGAGAACAGCGATTCACAGGCAGCTATTTGGATGGAAAATATCCTGAGCTATACATCAACCGGATTGAGATTGCAGAATGTGATGGCTGATAAGAGTGCTATGGACTGGGGCAGCAGACAGAGCAAAAGAAAATAACCACAACTTGGTCTGATCCAAATTCTCCTTGCATGAGTGTTTGCATGCATACAAGGCTCCACTTGCAAAGAAATTGCATGGTTGGTTCCAATGGCCAAACTGTTCCAAACTGCACTGATTGCCATTCCTGAGAGAGAGAATGCGTTTGCTCCTATTTTAACCAGGTCAGAAAAGACAGACATCCATAAAACTAGAAATGAGTCTGGTTTATTTTCCTGTATCATTAGCCTTTTATGGTCACTTGCTGTTATGAATGTTAACTGCAAACTTATAAATGTAGATCCTCTTCCATTCAGACTGTGGAACAGTGTTGAACGTGGTGGCGGCAACTCTTAGCTATCTAGACAGGCTTGCAGACTTTAAGGTGTCTTTCAGGACTGTGTTTCAAGGAGGAAGAACTTCATCCCCGCAGCCCGTGGATGGGTGGTTTTGCACTCTCAGTTCTTGTCTTGGCTGCCTGCCCCGGTGGGATTTTGCTGGAAGCTCTGGCTAATGAGAGAGCTTGGCTCAAGAAGCACCTACAGTGTATTTCAGCTCCCAGTGAACGCTGGTGTGTCTTGAGTGGGAATTTTGGGCAGATTTCTGCAGTGTTGTGAGCCTTACTTCTTTGGCGTTGAAGTGTGGATGTCACACCTACATGTCATGGACACACACCCCCCGGTCCTTCAGCTGCTCGGTGTCCCTCTCTGGGAGGGTCACCAGGATTGTGCTTTCTCATTGATTTGCCTGCATTCCCCACAGCAAGGGAGCAAAGAGCAGGTCAGCGACCTATGGGGAGATGTAGGGGTGGGAGTGGACAGAGACAGCGGGAGGGAAATACGACAGAGCGTGGCACGTTGGGACGGGGCGATGAGCCCTAGCACAGCTAAGATGGGCCTTGGTGTTGGCCCCACCTGGCCGCCCCGCTGCAGCACTGCCTATTCGCGCAGGACGGCACGGGTCGCCTGGGGCCGAGGCCTTAATGTGAAAGTCGTTTCGGGGACGGTCAGGTCCAGGTCAGCCTCTGAAACTCCCGGCTGAGGTTGGAAAGTGAATGTCTGCAGCAGCCCGACGAAGAAGACAAACAGCTCCATCTTGGCGAGGCTTTCTCCGATGCAGTTCCTTCGCCCTGCGGATGGAAGCAGTGTGCTTACTTGACGGCAGTATCAAGCTGGAGAAGTCCTGTCACAGGGGGTTTACCCAAATGTCTCACTCCAACTCTAAATGTTGCTTTGCCAGTGCCCTACCACCCCCCCCCAAACAGAATCACAGAATCACAGAATCACCCGGGTTGGAAGGGACCTCGAGGATCATGTAGTTCCAACCCCCCTGCCTAGCAGGGCCACCAAACATCCACATTCAGATCAGGTTGCCCAGGACCCCGTCCAACCTGGCCTTGAACACGTCCAAGGACGGGGCATCCACAACCTCCCTGGGCAGCCCGTTCCAGGGCCTAACCACTCTCCTTGTAAAGAACTTCCCCCTAACATCCAACCTAAATCTTCCCTCCCTCAACTTGGATCCCCCCCCGACCACAGGGCTGTCCTTCTTCCTAGAAAGGTCCTTTCCCCAGCTGGATCTTTGGGAGCCAGCTGTTGAGCTCGTTATCCAAATGAGAGGCAGTAATTAGCCATGAGGACCCCTCGGTGTGGCCGAGGCCTTTGGATACCTGTGGAGAAGGGCAGGAAAGCCTCCCTCTTGACAAAATTCCCTTCAGCATCAAGGAAGTGGTTGGGGTTGAACTGGTGTGGTGTCTCCCACTGCGTCTTATCCAGCAGCACCGAGGTGAGCGATGGGATGACAATTATGCCCTGGGAGAAGACACAAGAAATAGCAAGGCCCAGAGGCGCCTGTGGTGCAGCACCAAGGGTCCTGGGTGAGGGGTGTGGGGAAGGGGCTGGGGATGAGGAGGAGCTCCTGTCCACGGTGGGTTTACCAAAACGTCTCACTCCAACTCTAAATATTGCTGTGCCAGGAAGATTCTTGGCTGGGCAGAAAGGCAGGATTTATTGCTCTGTGTTGCTTTATTTTGTGACGTGGTTTTGTTATTGCTTCGAGTGGGGCAGGCAGAGACCCTGAGGATTTCGTCCCCTCCACCAACAGGGAGATTTTCCCAGCCGTGCCAAGCACTGAAGCCAAATGCCACGTGGCACGGTGAGGACCTGAGGCAGAGGGTCAGATCCTGAGCATTCCCAGGCAAATACTTCACTGGGCAGATGGCATCAGAGGTTAAGCAGGGTCACTCTTGGAGTGTGGAAGTGCTGAGCATGAGGGCCTGAATCGAGTTCCCCAGTACTGGTCTCTCTGGGCTCAGCACAGTCATTGGAAAGGAAGGAACTCTTCTGGGGTAATTCTGGACATTTGTTTTGTGCTTCTGTCCCTCTAAAGAAGCTGCTTGCAGTGCCACTGGCAACAAGAGGAGCGCCGTGTGCCCTGGGCTGGGCCGTACCCACCTTGGGAAGGAAGTATCCCCTGAAGTGGGTGTCCACAGCAGTGCAGCGGGGAACGTGGGGCAGGAGGGTGATGAACCTCTGCACTTCGTGGATCACTGCGTTTGTGAACGGCATCTTCTTGCGGTCCTCGTACGTGGCCCAGCTGCCAGCTTTGACAGTTCTTCCAATCTCCTCCTGCACCTTTTCTGGAAGGAACAAAGAACGGGGATGTATCCCAGCGAGGAAATCAACTCCCCCTGCAGATTTGATTTTGATAAAATATGTGTTTTTCCAGGGTCTGGAGGAAGAGGAATCTTAAAACACCAGGAGCTCACTTTGGATCTCAGGGTATTTCATCATCAGCAGGATGGCCCACTGCAGCGTGGTGGCCGTGGTCTCTGTGCCCGCCATGACCAGGTCAAGTATGGATGCAATTAAGTTGTCATCATGGAAGAGGCTGTCTTTCTTGTTTTTCTCCTTGAAAAGAACAAGTGTGAGAAAGCTCTTAAAATAGTGTTAGTATTCAGCAAGTTTGGGAAATGCTCTGTAACCCAGAAGGCTGTTGGGTATGATCGTGTGTTTGAGAACAGTGTGGTAAATGGCCTGATGTCACTTCTCCTGGGCTGTAGCAGTCTGCACTGAACCTTCCGCCACAGTGATGGGAAGAAGACTAATGCCTCACGTTGGCCCAGATCCAGTGGGAAAGAAGAAAAGATTCAGAGCGTAAATACTTTGTGTGGAATGAAATCAAGTGATGTGTGAAATTGCAGTCTCTACTGAAGTAAGATGCAGGGCTAGGCTCGCAGATGTACTGACCATTTATCATTCCAGTTCTTTAAGTGTATCATTCATCTTGGAGCAACAGTATCAATGATTAATTGATTTGTTGTCATACAAAGAAAAGCACAGCCAGCTTGCATGTGAGTTCATGCATTTTCTACTACAAACAAGGACTTCATGTCACATTATTAGCACTGCTGTTTGGGGGATGGATTGAGAGAATGGCTTCCACATCTCAATTTTGATAGAAAAATCCCTGCAGTAAAGTACACCAATACAAGACTGGAATCTGATTTCAGTGCCACTAGAACAATAGCATTAATTTCAGTAGGGTTACATGATAGGACTGAAATCCAGATCTTTAAGCTAGAAAAGCCAAAGGAGACATCACAAACAGCCAGCAGAGCCCAAGCAGACCCATACCTCGTGCTGCTTGAATACCAATGCATCAGTGTAGCTCCTCACACTGTTCTCATTGATATCTTCCCTGCTCGCCTTCATGTATTGCCTTATAATAGCGCGCACATCTTCTATTTTCTTTAGCAAAATCTTGTGAGTTTTGAAAAGAAATCCAAGGAATGGGTAGAAATTGAAATACTAATAAGAAATTAAAAAAAAAAAAAGAAGCGTTAGGTGTGCAGGAGAATCAACAGGCTGAAATGGCTTCTTCCTAAGGCACGACAGATGAGGTGAGTTTTGTCTGTAGTAATATCTGTGCATCCCAGGGAGTTCTGTAGGGCTCAGGCTCATTTTCGCACGGATGGGCTTTGCAACCTTTTAGCCTTTATGCAGTACAACTCAATGTCAAGCTTTTTTACTGTTCAGTGGAAACTGCCTCTCCACCAGTGACAGACTGGTCAGGAAAAAATGCTAACCATTGGAACAGGTTACTTACATTCAAGTATGGAGATCCCAGAAGAACCATAACTTCATCTATGAGTCTTAGGAGAGTGAGAAATGTTGGGTCCTTATAGTCAAACCTGTCCCCAAAGAGCATGAGGAAGGTGATGTTGATCGGAGCGATGCTGAAGGACCTCAGGCTGAAAGGTTCCCCTGCAATGGGAGGAGGAGAGCAGTGTCAGAGGGACGTGGATGCTGCAGAGCACCCCGGTGGGCTCCGGCTCACCTTTGAAGGATTTGATCTTCTCAATGAGGAAGTGAAGCTCCTCACAAACCTTCCCCTCCATCATCTGCTTCCCCATGCCGAGGTTGCGCATGCTGGAGACGGTGAACCTGCGCGTTGTTCTCCACAGGTCGCCGATGGAGAAGAACACACCTGGGGCAGGCACAGCACACCAAGCGAGTTATGAGGCCAGGTGAGGAGGGAGCTCCCCAAGCTTCTGCCGCCCAGTTCCCGTGGCTTTGGGGAACTGGGGTCCCCCATTTCTCTGTGCCCCGGCCCTGCACCCTCTCAGCTCAGCTTTCCTGGTCACACTGAGCCTGCTGGCCGCGGGGTGGGGGAGGGCTGTCAGACCCACAGCGTGGGGCTGGGGGGGAGCCGGTCTGAGTCAGCCGTGCAAACTCTCTGACCCTGTTTGGTTGCAAGGTGGGGCCTCAAGCAACAGCCTTGTCTCTTTGAAGCTTCCCTCTTTGTTCTATTCCAATCATAAAGATCTTTTATCTTTGTGGGATGGGATGATTCACCCTCCTCGATCCCAGTCAGCGCTCCACTGGTTTTTGAGATTCCCAATAACACTAAAAACACCCCCACATTAGGGTGGAGAGAAAAAGTGATTCTTCGGAAAATCTGTGACCCTTGCTACCTACAGCCTGTGTGAATTTATGGCTTTGGGTCACCTCTGAGCAATTCCGACTTGGGTTGAGAAGATAACAGAGAAAGGACTGATAGAGCAATACCCTGCTGCCCCTGTGGGCAGCCTCCCACAGGGATATTTTATGTGTGAATTAGCTCTGAATGATGCTTTTCCCCCATCAATTCCTTTTCCCTATGTAGCGACAAATTCGTCTCTTGATATTGTGGCTGGGTAATTTAATTTCTAATTGTAATCCCAACTCTGGCCTGTGACCAGCATACAGGGCTGCCTTTTGGCTGCTCACACCAGAGCCTGGCCGGAGGAACAAGGCAGGATGTCCTCTGATGTCCTTGGGAAAACCACAGGGATGTCTGGGGAAAGAATTTCCAGCCTCAGCCCATTGCTGAACAGATTACACGTCCAACCTGAGAGCTTTGGTGGAGGGAGACAAGATGCTGGGTACTGACTGTATCCAATAATGGATGCCAGGCATCGGGATGAAAGGGCAAACCTGTGCTTTTAAAAACCCCACTCCTCGCCCTCCAACGAGAGGATAAGGGTTGACTGCAAGTGCACGACCAAAATATAATGACAGTGGAAATGCATTGCATGAAAGTGAGGGAATGCCATCGGTGTAGGGAGGGTCCAAGGAGCTTTTCAAAGCTGGGCTGCTGGGAGCAGCGCCACACTGGCACTGAGCGGCACCGTCCCTCCCACCCCCCCTCATTGCTCTAGTACCGTTTCCATTCTGAATTTGGTCAAATATTGGGATGGATGGTCTGTCTACAAACTCCTCTGTGTAGTTCACAAGCGCCTCCCGCACAACTTCGTACCCGGTCAGGACCACAACTTTCTGGAAGCCAAAATGGAGGGTGAAGACCGGGCCGTATTCTTCCGCAAGCTGAAAGAGAGGTAAGCTGTGATGGTCAGCAATGAGGGAAAGTCCCTCAGTCAGCACTCCCCGGGGTTGAGCGTGGGATGCTCTGCATGGGTGAGCGGAGGGGTGCTCAGGTTTATTGCCCACCCCCTGTCAGTGCATTGCTAATCTGATCTCTTTGTTAAGGAGAAAGTGAAAAAAAACATAAGTAAGTGCAACATGTGGAGTTACATTGGACTTCAGATGGCGGTGCAGGTTGGCCAACCAGAGAAAGACCAGAATAGTGCAAATAGTGGCGCTGTTATATGGGACAGACCTTGCTCCTCTCCCGTGCTCCTGCTGCTGCTAGATCAAGGGATTGGAGCAACAACAGCTGCAGAGAAGGGTCTGCAATGGCTGAAGGAGGGCAGTGAGCGGCCCCAGGTGCTGCCCAGCTGCATGCACAGCCTCAGCCCACATGGTGCAGCCTCAGCCCACGCAGAGGAAAGAGTGCATCCCCACCTGCCCAGCAGCACCCCACCAGTGTGCCCAGCCAGCTATACTGCAATGCAGACACTGCTTTGGTGTTAATCTGTGGGGTGAGAAACAGGGATAACCCCTCTGGATTAATCCCAAATTAAAATCAAATATAGGTGACTGTAAATACAACGGAGCAGGCAGTGAGAGCACGCAGAGGTCAGTCAGAAACTCAGTCTGAAGGCAAACCTGTGCCCAGCACACTGGGTGAGCTGCCCCAGAGCTGCACTGCCCAAAAGGCAGAGCAGCAATGCAGCCTCAGCCCAGCACTGCACACCCGGCAGCTGCCTGCATTCAGCCAGCACTGGAGCGATGGAGCCCCACTCGAGGAGGGAGCGATCCGCAGTGCTGGCTGTGCCAGCTGTGCCTGGCACCAACACACAGCTCCAGCATGAGTGGGGTAAGCCGTTCTGATTGCAAACCAATGGAAGAGCTTCCAGGCTTCTCCTTTCTGGTTCCTCAGCTCAGTCTTCCCATCCCACCCTTCTGCTGCTGTCTGGATTTTAATGCAAATCCCTTTCTTTCCGAGGGAAATAGGCTTTGCAGTGGGACATCTGGATTTGGGGTCTCTGCATCACGACATTCCCCCACCGCTTCTCTAGAACGCAGGGAGGGAAGTGGTTTCCATTCACGCTAGTTCTTTCCTAATGCTGTCCGCATTTTCTGGGTGTCAGAGCTGTCAAATTAATATTTAAAGTCCCACAAGTGCTGCAGACTTCATGTACATCATCGCAATTACATGAAGAAATCTCATATTACCCAGAGGTGTTTTTCTTAACGGTTGATTGCTCATAAATGACACTGCACCAACACAGACATTGGCTTGAAGAAGACCAGAAAGAAAATATTATAAAGCAGTTTCCACACCTTTACTATCGAGTTCAAATTCAAAAAGACAAAAAATCAGCACTGATATAGCCCAGGCAGCTTTAAAATGCACGAGGATCCAGGTTTGGGTTTTTTGTCCTACCTTCATTAGTGACTTATCTTGCCTTCTGATGTCCACCAAGTGCAGGTTACCAATGATCGGAAGAGGAGTTGGACCAGGAGGCAATTTAAACGCTGCGTTTTTAGAGCCGGTTGAAAAATAGAGTGCAGCTAACAGCACTGCTGCACACAGCAGACCCATTAACACAGGATCGGAGATAAAAGAAATTAAGAAAGCCATTTTTTTTTTAAGTACTACTCTGGTTTTTGGTGTTAGAAGCAATCAAAGCGCAGCGGCAGCGCTCGGCTCCTGCCAGCTGGCTCTCTGTTTGTTCTCTGCGATCGCTACAAGCACTCGATTCTTATTAAGGTTTGTAGAGTACCTAAATAAATACTGCATACTCCACCCTCTTTAAACACCTCAGAGAATGTGGTCTAAGCAGTTTGCAAAGCCTGTCCAGAAGTAAAGAGAGTTTCAAATTACAAACCCATGCATGTGTGTGCAAGAACATATACATGGGAAAAGGTGCTTGGCATTCCTCTATTGCCTCCTCCGCCCGAGACCTCCAGGTCCCTCACTGGCAGTGCTGTGACCCTCGGAACGCTGCTGACACGGGGGAATGGAAAGGTTCCTCTGAGCGCTATAGGAAACCCCCAGCTTTGGGTTTGGATGGGGCTTGGGATGTTGGGGCTGCTAAAGAGAGAAGCGGTTAGGGAAGGCTTTGACTTGGTCTGTGTCAAGTGGAGATCAAAGGTTGTTAATGATGGTAACGGCCCTGTATCCCGGGGTGCTGCAGCCCGTCGAGCTCACAGAGAGGCTGCGGAGTGCCCAGAGGGGATGGGATTGCAGACTTCTGAGGTGTGCAGGACATGTAGGAGCTGGCCATGGAAAATTAGCACAGGTCAAGTGATCGTGAGTGGATTGTGTGTAAATTAAATGGGAAGGCAGAATTGGATCAGAAGTTGCTGGGGGGTTCCTCATTTGGAAAGAGCAGCTTCTAAGAGACAGAGGGGATAAATTAACGAAGTTAATGAAGCTCGCTGAGCTGGAGAGCTGCAGAACCTGAGCATGATGGAGAATGGAACTATTGTGAGTCAAAGGTATGAAACACCTGGAGCATGCGTTCCTCCTGAAGGTTCCCATCCCCAGCAGAAGGGACTGATGTCTGTCAGACTGAGCCGTGGCTGTCAGAGCGATGCTGGAAATAAACCGTCCATGGAAGACATTTGCTCAGGGTAGAAAGGTCTGTCGTGATGCGATCAGGAAGCACAAAGCTCCTTTTATCCAAAGCTTTGATTGTGGAGGGGATGTTATTCGGCAGTGTGTCCTCAGCACTGTGAGAGCAAAGAGGGCTGTGAAGGCAGCAGGCCTGGTGCGCAGGGGGCACAGCGTGCTCCTGGAGCAGCCCTGGTGCGCACGTGCTGCAGAGATGTGGCGGTGCGGCAGAAGCAGCGAATGTGTTGCAACATTTCTGGGATTTTTTTATTAGTTTCCAAGAAATGGGCTGGAGGCGACGGTTTTCTCTAGAGCGTGCCTTGTGTGACTCAGCCCTGCTGCAGCCAGCACAGAGCAGTAGGGGTGCGAAGCAGGAGAGCGGGGCCGGGGTGGCACAGGGTGCAGAGCGGGGGCACAGCGCTGTGCTCTGCGTGTGCTCCTGTGTGTGCTCTGACCGGAGAGCTACGTGCCACTGCCGTGCTCCTGGTATGTCATCCCTGCCCTGGGAGCTGCCAAAATAAGAAAAAAAGCCTTTCAGAGAGAGATTTAAATTATGTCTGAAAGGCCGGGAGCGGGGGGGAGCGCGTCGGGTTTTCTTAAACCTACCAACCTCTGAGTGCAATGCATTAAGATGACAAAGGTAAGTCAAGCTGTTGTGATGACAAGAAATTCCTGTCTCAACAACCCGTCTGGTACGTGTTCTGCTCCGGAGCCACGCTGCTACGTGCTGCCCTGCCCGGCACCCAGCACAGATCCCAGCACAGAGCCCTGCCACGCAGCGGCACCACGCGGGCTCCAGGAGAGCCTTCGTATTCCTTCCCTACCTGACGTTTACCTTGAAGAACACGGAGCTGTATCCTTTCTGCACTGTTAGAGTTTTTAACGGGCAGAAAAAATCTATTTCCTTTATTAGTTTAAATGTGTTGCCATTCACTTTAATTTTCTATTTTCCCTCTGCGATGAGGAAAGGTTGATGGCAGCAGATGACTCCAATCACCTCTGGGACACTGTGTGGGCCTGCCCTTCCTTCCTCCCTTCTCCATCTCCTCGTTAAGGCAAACAGACACATCTTTCGTGCCAGTGTCTATGTGGAGGGTTTTTCTTCTCCATCACTGTTTTCACTTCCTCCTATCCCAAATTCTCTGCAAGTAAATCCTTTTAGAAATATGATAGCCAGAACTCAAAGACACCTCAACTGCTTGTCTGTATCCTTGGGACCAACGCAAGAAAACGTCTGGCATGGCATCTTCAGCATCTTGTAGGTCTGGGAGGACTCCAATTCACCAGATAATCAGCTCTGAAAATTCTTCCCTTATAAATGGCATCAACTTGTGGACTGTGCAAATGCTTAGGAAAAGAGACACTTTTGAAGGGACAATTGAAGCAGTGAAGAAGCCTTTATGGTTGCGACTTTCTAGAAACAGCCTGGTTTCCTTGGAGCTGTTTGTGGCTCGGGGCATTGCTCACACTTTGTATTGTTAAACATGTTCTGACCGCGTGTTGCCCAGGGATCCCTGCGCTCCTGTGGGCGTACAAAAGGAGGTGCAGCCCAGCTTTATCAGTTTGACCCTAAATCTACTTTATCCTGCAATGCCGCATAGATAAACAGCAACAGAGCAAAATATTTATTTGTTAAGTAGGAGCTAAGGTCAAACTTGCAGTAGTTAGACTGCAAACAAAGCAGCAGCAAAATGAATGTAAGCAAGCGTAGTTGCAAAGGCATTCTTGTTACACAGCTTGTTCAGCAGATTCCTTGAGCTGGATGGGAAGCTGGAGCTGGCCTCAAGGCACAGCACAAGTGAAAGTGCAGCCCCAGTACAAGCACAGGGAACGTTGGAGTGCAATACTGGGACAAAGCACAGCTATCAGAGTGCTGCCCTTAGTTGTGAACTAAAGCTGCAAAGAGTCAGAGCCTTGGCTGAACAAAGAGTGACTGCTTTGTCATCTCTTCGTACTCTCTTGCTCCTTTCTTTCCTTCCACTTGTAGCACAGATCAGGTTTAGATGATGGCAACATTTTGTGCTAGACTTGCCCCAGCCACCCCCTCAATCTCTGTAACTGTCAGTTTCTCCCTTTTTTCTTTCCATCCTGACTTGCATTTCATGCTTCCAAAGCAACACAAAGCATCTTCAGTGACTCACCACTCTCTAACCCTCATCTGGTTTCCTGCCTGTGTTAACAGACGAAGCCTCCTCTCTTCCCCACACTGTCATTCAGGTTTCCCACCTTCCCTCTGCAGCACAGCTCCTTGTTCCTACACATAATGGCTGCTCCAGAAGATAATCATTAACTGTTCTAACCAAGCAGCTGCCCTAGGAAGGCTTCCCTCTTTGCTGACACCAGCTCTGTGCACAGACCCCATGCACCAAGCTCATGGCACAGTAACAGGCTGGGTAGTAAGCTCTTGCCCACCTCTCTTTCCAGTTTTACAGTTTTTAGTGGCCATGGGAAAAATCCTATGGATTGTGTCAGCACTGCAGGGTCTTTGCTGGCAGTGTGAGCATTTTCAGCTCTGTGTTTGTAACACCATTCCCATGCAGGTGACCACAGCACTGCCTCAGGCTTGTGTGCAGCATCACGTGTGCTGGTTCAGAAACCACTCACTTTCTGTGGCTGCTTAGTTTCTGCCAGTGTAGGGTCAGAGCTGCTCTAGAGTGTGGCTGGACATGAGTCAAAGCCAGGAGGGGCAAGGGAATGGGAGAAATGCCTTCCTTACTGTGAAAGCTGTGAGGCTGGCCCTCTAGTAAATAGGCTCTTCAGTATGAAACATCCAGTGCAATCGGAGTGAGCTCACTTTCCAAAGCACTTAGCAATTTCCTGATAAGTGACCCATGCCTGGCTCTTGGCATCAGCCCGTGTCACACCCGAGTGTCTGCGACGCTGCGATAAAGATAAGGCTGTGCTGCACAATGGCAGCTCAGTCCAAGGCTCAGCTCAACAGTCATCTCAGGGAGACTTCTAAGGGTCTGTTGTCTCCAGCTGGGCCATCGATAACCAGCTCTGCTATACAGCTGGGATTCGGGCTGAGAAACTCCCCATAGAGGCTCTCAGTGGAGAGACCCAAGTGGGTTGTTTGTAGAGGAGGCTCAAAACTAAGTCATTCTTTGAAATAGCCCCGAAAACTGCATCTCTGGTGTTCAGGGGTGGGTCGTGCTGAATGTGGGAGCAGTGCTCAGAGGTGTCTGAAGGGTTTGCATCGTACAGAGGGTAGAAGAGCTCCTGGAAAGGATCATACGAACAAAAGACAAACAGCAGAACCCAGTGCCCTTTCCCTAAAGCTCAGGCAGACAGCTTTTCCCCCTGTAGCTAGACTTGCATTCAAGCTTGAAGTGCCCACTACACCACCTCCATGTTGTCTGATCACTTGCAGGGCACAGCACAGACCAGGTGAGGCATGGGATTCAGGGTGAAGCCAACGTCAGCAGTGAGATCCAGCTCTGCTTTGTTCACCCCTGGAGGGGGCTGGAAAACAAATTTGCGGAGCAAGCCTGCGAAGAAGAGGAACAGCTCCATTTTGGCCAGGCCTTCTCCAACACAAGACCTTCGTCCTGAAAACAAGCAGGAGAGAAGTAAATGTTAAGCAGTGGAACTGTTGGTGATGGCATCTGAGACCTTCTAAACTGGACACGCAGTCTGTGCAGCTGAGGTAGGAAGCTTTTCCTTTCTTTTCTCTGTATTCTGGGGAGGGGGGTACTGCTGACTTAGTGTCAAGTTGCCTGGAAGCCTGCAGGTGTGTGAGATCATCCAGTGCCTGGGGGTAAATAAGCGTCTGCCAGATCTCCCAAGGAGCAGCAGGCTGTAGCAGTGGTGGACAGGACCAATGTCCAGAAACCTCTTATCCTGCCTTATCAGTGTCCTTCACTTACATACTTCCCTGGGGTCAGTGGGCACGGTGCTGTTAGCCTAGCCCCAGGATGGGCACAAATTACCCCTCTCACCTATGGAGAATGGAATAAATGCCTCTCTCCTAGCAAAGTTCCCATCAGCATCCAGGAAGTGGGAAGGGTTGAACTGATGCGGGGTTTTCCAGTGCAGCTCGTCATTTAGAGCAGAGGTCAGCAGCGGTATAATCTCTGTACCCTGCAAGGGATCAAAGAAGCAGCTGTTTGGAGCAGAAGGAAGCTGGGATAGCTTTCTTTTTTTTCCCACGTGAAGAAACAAATGAGACTGAGCCGTGGCAAACAGAACCAGAGGATGCTTGCTGGCCCCACTGTGGCTTTGCCTGTTATCAGTAGTTGCTGCTCTGCTTTTGCACCATGAAAGAATTCTTCTTGCAGATTCAGACAGATCTTTGGAGAAGTCTACTGAAGTATAGATTTCACTTCGGGCATAATAGAATCAAACCAATGTGACTTCATTAAAGTCTGGTTATTCTGGATTCAAGTGGCTGCAACATTCTACAATCACCACATGTTTTTAACAATTGTTCTGCATCCAAGATGAAGAATTACACGGTGGATTAAACCGAGCATCAAGGCGTCTCTAGATATGTAGATATTTCTTATCAGCTTTAGATAACACGGTAATGAATTGGTGCAGTGTAAGCTGCTGGTCCCAGAGCTCACCTTGGGAATCACATAACCTTGGAAATTCACATCTGTAGGTGTTGATCGTGACACCCCCATCGGGACGATGTTGGCGAATCTTTGTACTTCGTGTATCACCGCCTCTGTGTAAGGCATCCTTTTCCGGTCCTCCAGCTTCGGCATCTCCCCCGGCTCAATCACCTGGTTCATTTCTTCCTGAATTTTTCCTTGTGGGGAGGAAAGGATTAAGAAGTTGATACTCCTCTCATCTTACAACTGAAGTAGCCTTCAGTTTGGCCATGATGAAGAAAAGGGAAAACTTTGGGGGGCGGTTGGGAAGAACAGGAGGGGGGTGGTAAGGCAGGGCATGGTGTGGTTCTTTCAGTTTTACTCTTGAGCCACGGGAGCTTGAATGGAGCACGACAGGACGTCCCATGCCTGGCTCTGACTGCACACCTTCGTTACCCCATGGCCTTCAACGGAAACCAGATCGGGAGCAGCTCCCCAGGAGATGGGAAACCTTTAGTGACATGTGCTGATAGCCTGCAGGAGAACAACGATGGGAGACCTCCTGTCCCTTCAGGCTGCCTCTCGGCCTCTCCCACCAGGCTGGGCTGCTTTATTGCAATCCATCTGAATAAAATCCCTGTGTAAAGTCAGTGGTTGTTATCTCTCTCAGAGAACTCACAATAATTGCCCTAAACAGTGCTGAATGAGTTCCACTCCCTTCCATAATCCGAGCCTTATGCGTGCAACAGAATATCATACAAGAGGAATTCTCAGCCTTACTCTGAATTTCTGGGTATTTCATCATCAGAAGGAGACCCCAGCGCACGGTTGTAGAAGTAGTCTCAGTCCCAGCAGCAAAGAGATCCAGGGTTGAAAACAGCAGGCTTTCATTGTGGAACATACTGTGGGGTTTCTTTGACTCCTTCAAAGCAAACAGGCAACAGCTGTAAGTTCTGCAGCAAGTGATACCAGTAGTGACTACATTGCCACCATCTTTGTCTGCATCTTAGGTTTTTGTGATTGACATGCTGTGGGAAACAAAATAGTTAGAAGGCAATAGAAGGTTTTAATATTAGGACTTACACTGTATAGAATTTGTGTATATCCAGCCTCCAAATCCTGATACTGGGTCTATAAGAACTCAGTTACTGCAGTGAGGTTTGCCACCACATTATTCTTGCAGGGAGGTTGTGAATAGTCTTTTCCCTACATGTGTTGGGTGGCAGCTAATTTCAGCACAACCCCAACCAGCAGTTCCAGCAGAGTGATGGAGTGATGGAATGATACAGCACTGCTCATCATGAGGATGAGCTTCAACATGTTCTGCTCAGTGCAGTTCTGTTTTTACTCACCCTCCATCCCTGACAGATGATCAGTTCTAATAATGAGCCAGAGCCAAGAGAATCCCAGGCTTAGCTTTGAAGTACCTGTTGTTGCTTCATCATGAAGGCATCAACGAAGCCTGTTAAGTTATTCTCATTAAATTCTTCTTTGTGCTCCTTGAAGAGTTTCTGGAGGAAAGCACTCAGCTCCCTGATATTTTGTAGCACGGTCTTGGAAGCTCCAAAGAGAAATCCAAGGGATGGGTAGAAGTTATACAACTGTGGAGCAACGGAAGCCTGTTAGTTGGTGTTTTGAACATATCCAGGTATCACAAATGTGAGCTGCCCTGAGCTCAGCATTGCAGTGTGTCATACAGGCATGGTGTTTGCAGCAAGTCTGGTTTTGCCTCCAGCCTTCCATGAGAAGTAGACACTTCTGCAAGGAGACCCCCAAAACAGTTTCAGTTCTGGAGGCATACTTGAGAGGGCATTTTAGTGCCAGTCTCTGATGTGAGAGATGCATTGTGCTTCTCCTCTTGAAAGGGATTGAATTAGTTCCTTTGGTGAAGGCTGTTTTTCTTTCTCTTACTGATAAGCAGCAGAGAAGGAGCCCAGGGGCCAGGGAATCTATGTGCTGTGGATACAGAGCTGCAGTGTGTCCAGTACAGGCTGCTGGTGGTGTTCTTGTTCTCCCCTCGAGAAGCAAGGTGTGGGAAGCCACGAGGACAAACACCATCAATCAGACATGCCCCTAAAAGCTAAGACTTAAAATCAAGCCCTTACCAGCACCACCGGAGAGCCCAGCAGCTTGGTATTCTCATTTAACAGCTTCAGCAAAGTGAGAAATGCTGGATCATCATATTCAAACCTCTCTCCAAACAGAATAGAGCAGATGACGTTGGATACAGCATTGTTGAGGATCATCTTCGTGTCAAATGGTTTCCCTGTAGTTCAGGCAATGCAAACAAATGATGATGGGATGATGCCCATTTTGCCCTGTGACGCAGGGGTGTGCTGCTGGGGAAGGGAGCAGCTGGCTGGCCTTAGATATTATCAGGGAATGCTGTGCAAAATGCCACATTCAAGGCATGGGAAAAGGACAGAGATTTGGTCAGGTTTTTGTGGAAATGTGGTCCCAAGCTCCCTCAGAAAAAAACTATTTTACCACCCAGAATGCAGTAGGGAATCTGGTTTCAATGTCTTTAGGCCTCCATTTAATAACCTACCTACGCACGTGCTGAACTTTAACCATCAGATACCACTCACTCAGTGTTAAACTTTTGTGAATCTTTATTGTTCTGCTGGACACGTTTTCTGTCTCTGGATGAAATTCTTGACACTCACCTTGATAAGATTCAAAATATTTAATTAGAGAATTCAGTTCCTCGAGGATTCGGACCTCAATCGTTCTCCTTCCCATTCCGAAATCTCTCAGTGTGGACAAGGTGAATCTTCTCATAGTTTTCCATAACTCTCCGTGGCTGAATGCTATGCCTAAAATGAAAGTGTCAAATCCTTGTGCTACCCGTGGTTAGTAAATGTAAGGCCTTGTTACAGAGCTACTCTGCATGATTGTACAGACAAAAAGCAGGCATAAGATGATGTTCTCTGCTGTCTCTTCAGATCAACTGCAAAGACCAGTGACAAAAAAGCTGTTTACCATTTCCTCGTGTCATTTTCCTAAATATGGGTATTTCTGCTCTCTCTCCGAATTCTTCAGCATGATTTAAGAGGGCATCCTTGATGGTTTCGTAGCCAGCCAGCACCACAGCTTTCCTGGGTCCGAAATGCACGGTGAAGACATTGCCATATAGCTTGGAGAGCTGTCACAGTGAATAAATACATTCATTCTAAACCAGAGCTGGATCCAAACACTGCCTCCCTTGCTAGCTTCCAGCCCACAGCAACCCTCCCACCCTACTCCAGGTCTCCAGGTGCTGCTGTACTGTAACTACTGAGCAACGGCTATCACTGCCAGCATCTCTCCTTGCACCCTGTTTGCACAACAAGGTGTCTGCTATCGCTGCTCCTATCAGATGAGCAGTCAATAAAAAAAGCACTGCATTCCTGTGGTGCTCTGCAGCAACAGGCCAGCATAGCAATACTACTGTGTGGAGGCTGTTTGCAAATGCTGTAGCAGGCGGCTGTTTATTTTAATACCACTGACCTGAGGCAAGCGGGTGTGCGCACCGCTTTGGGGCTGAAGCCACAAGCACTACAGAAACAAAGCTAGACAATAACTCTTTCAGGATAGCACTTGTCCCTAATTATTGCAAGGTGGGTAGTGTTGCAGTCATAGCAAAGTTATTTGCTGGCCACCAGAAACTTCAACCTAACCAGGAAGCATTCCCTTGTAGATAATGTCACAGGAGCACTGGGCTTTTATAGGAAATTAAATATGAATCATCTGTCACAGAGAAGAGTGGCTTTGACAATCAAATCACTCACTTGGTATTTTAGCTTTAGTTTAAACACTGCGAGCCGTCCGCTCCAAATGTCTCCTTGTTTCTGACGTGCCTAAATTACCATTTGCTATGCATTAGATGCATACCGAAAATTGAATTTCAGATTAGAAGCAGCTCCTGTTATTACACCAGACAAATTAAATTTGTTTTCATCAAATGACCATTTGACAGCTTGGGAGATAACATGAGCGCTGGTTCATGCCTCCCTAGCAGCGAACAGGCATGCAGCAGGTTTGGGGCAGGGCATCACAGCCACCTCCTGGCCTGCCTTTGGTTATTTCTTCTCATTAGGACTTCTTGGTGTCAGCCCTGGTTTTACTCAGCAGCACAGGGATTGGATGCAGCACACCTGACAGCCTAAAGCTGGATGGCAGCTTAGGGAAAGTGAATCCGGTGCCTTCAAGAGACATCTGTATCAGGGGATCCCCCAGGACTGCCAGAAAGAGGTGACTTTTCCTATGGGCACACCTGTGGTACGGCCATGGAAACTGCTCTGCACAAGCCTGAGGGAATCGTAAGTCAAGGCTGATGGACACTGTGTGAGTGCTGTAGGAAAGCTGCATTTTGAGGCCAAGGAAGTCCTTCTTCCACCACTAACTGCAGAATTTGAGCACCTGCAAGGTCCTCTTGTTGTGTCTGCCCAGGTGAGCTTAGCAGGACTGGATCTCCCCATTGTCAGCACACAATTCTGTCTCCATTTCCCTAGCTGCATTCCTTGCTTTGGGAATTGCACACTTTCCCCCTACCTGCTTGCTCCCAGCCTACCTCTGTCAGCGACTGGTATGGCTTTTTCAGGTCCACCACATTCAAGTTTCCAATCAGAGGAAGAGGCTGTGGCCCGGGAGGCAAATTGCAAACTCTCTTCTTCCAGCTGGTGGTGAAGTAAAGGAGAATGGCCAGCCCTGCTGCCAGATAGAGCAGCGAGCTGATGGCCACGCACTGCAGCAAGCTTGTTACGGCCATGGCTGGATCAGAAACCAGAATGTGGGTATGAGCACCCTGGGGCTTCCTTTATAGCCCTTCTGTCATCACCTGAGCACACTTTGTGGGAAAGTGGCTTTGCACAGAAAAAAGGGCTCTCAGGTCTTGTTTACTTCCATTTGGACCACGTGTACATTTTTACCTGCCAAAAAAGCAATCTATTTTATTCAGAAAATTGGATTAACTTAATCTGAAGCTCCTATTTCATCTACAAGAACAGAGAGCAAGGTGTTTGTTTTCCAGTGTTATGTGCATGTTGTGGTCCATGTGATTTCTGGTGCAGAAGGAAGGGCTGTGCTGGGTCCTCCCATGGCTGTCCTGGTGCAGGGACTTGGCTGGAGCACTGCACAGCCAATGAGAGAAGCAGAACATAGGAGGGAAAGCCCTCGGTAATGGCTGGGGGGCAGCTGGCAGGGAAGTCTCTGGAGAACAGAAAGCGAACCAAGTAGATGGGATAGAGCTGACATGATGTGCTGACTTCAACCTTGCAGAAAGGTGTTGGTCCCCCTAGTTGGTAAAGCTCTGCTCCTCTGGCACGACAGCAAAATCACTTCCTTGGGCAACCCGGTGTTTTCATGGCAGATGTTGTTACTGACCTGCAAGTCCTCTGCTGACCATCCCAACAGGCCCTGAAATCACTGCACTATTTTGCAGCCTACTGGTCAGAGGCAGCGTGCTTTGTCTAGTTTGGTGATGTCGTGGTTCCTGCCTTTTCAAGAGCAGGTATGTGCAGGCCTCTGGGAAAGACCATCCCCTCCAGACTTCTGCCTAGGGTGGGAAAGAGACCCTGCATGACTGTAGGTGGATCAGAGCAGGGCTGGGCAGCAGGCTGGGCAGAGGAGAGAGGCTGCCTGGGGCTTCTGCAGAGCGGGCGCCAACCAGGAGGAGTGTGAAGCCCTGAGCACTGAGTCATCCACCATGCCAGGGCACGGTCCTGCAAGAGCCAGCGTGTCTGGGGGGGTGACAGCTCACCAAAGAGCCACCCGCACCCTTTGTGTCCTTGGGGGATGTCGGCGAAGCAGAAAGGATCATGAATGAGAGACCACGGCTGTCATTGGTGGCCTGAGGGCAAGAAGCCAATGTGTAGCTCCATCACATATTCTCAGGTGGGGATATTTTGCTCCCCGCTTGCATATTCTGTCTGATTACCAGGCTGTGCTGCTGTTCCACCCTTTAGAAATCTTTAGTTTTAATACTTTTTGCTAGAATCCTCCAAGGCTCCTGGGCACAGGGTCTACTGATAGAAAAATGATTATTTATTAATAATAATAAAAGTACATTAGCTGGAGGCAAGAGGAATCAATAAACTCTGATTAGATTGACATGAAAAAAGGTGGTGCCTGCGTGTCTGCCTGTTCTCCATAGCTGGTTATCTGGGTGGAGGGAAGCTTTTTCATGAGGGGATGTACCCTGCAGGGGCAATGTTGGCAGTGCAAGGGAAGGTAGGAGGACAACAGAGAGTTGTGACCTCAGGATCTGCTGCACAAGTGAGAAGATCTCGCTCTGTGTCCTCTTCCACTGGAGCAGAGGTGGCTAATGCTATAGAAAGGAGAGCCTTCTCAGGGGCTTTCAAACTGCTTCAAACACAGTTTGTGCCTGGTGATAAGGGAGCGTGAAATCTTTTCTCAAGCTGATGGACTTGCAGCCTGCTGGAGCCATGCCTGGAAAGAGGAACGAGCTCTCCGCAGGAGATGATCATGGAGTTTTAAAATACCACTAGTGCTGTTTCCTCACCTCCATCTCTTCCTCACAAACCTTGGCTTCCACCATGCGCTCCTAAGCGCTGCCAACCAATTTGTTGGCTTACAGGGCTGGGGAGTAAATTCTGTTCTCTTCCCACAGGTGTCTTTGTCTTTCTATCAGCACAAGCCAGAACCAGTACCACCTTCAGGTAAGCAGGATTTGTGGGCATAGCTCAGGGAAGTAATCAGTTCCTCCCAGGAAAGGACCCTGTACGTTAAGCAGCCTCACTCATCTGACTTGTGTGTGTTCATCTGGAATCAATCTGGATACAATCTTCTAATGAGACGTGGGGTAATAATGCTATGGTAACAGTTGGATAATGCAGAGAAAGAGCTATTATAAAGCCATAACTCAGTCAGTGAGTTCAGATAACATAATAAACCACAAGACTGAACACCAAGGGCTTGTATGCCTTGCAAGTCTCTGCAACACATTTACAACCACATGAGATGCCTATCAGCCATGCATTGTTATCAGGGACATATAAACCCTTTTAAACATTAACATTTTTATGGACTGAGATGTGTTAAAACTCAGGTAGCTCCTTGCCAAGGGATTTTGCTCACCTTGACAAATGCCAATGCAAAAAGAAATCAAAAGCCTCAGACTTTGACCTCCTTTCTTTTTTTTTTCAGTAATTATTGCAGTGTTTTATTGGATTCCACCTGCTTCTCCCCATCCTGCAAAACAGTATTTCTGTGGGATCACTGCAGGATACCGCTCAGTGTTTGCTACGGACATTTTGGTACAGATAACTTGTACTGGATTTCTATTCACTTGCCTGTCAAATCAGTCAGTTACACACCTACTTTGGAAAGGAAAACCCCTGAAAATACACTTGTAAAAATCACTTTATTACAAATTTCCAAAGACTGAAGGATTGTGATGAATTATATGTGATGGGTCTGGCCACTGGAGGAAAACATTTAAAACCAACCTCTGCTTGGGCTTAATGTACTGTCTCTGTGCAGAGCCTGAGGTGATACTGTCCCCCACACTTTATGTCCTTATCTCTATTAGCAACAAACTGTTCTCTGAAACGTTGCTCCTTTTAAAAGCATTGCCCTCAAACTGATGTTCCTCCAGGAGCTTCACTCTGTCACAAACTTGGTGCTGGTGATGCGCTTTACAATAAGCACCCCTACAAAAGTACCTGCAGTCGGAGCCCTTGTGTCCACAGTCAACAAGCCGAGGCAGCCTGACCTAAGAAGTTAATGCTGAGGAGTCCAGGTTGTGACAAACTTATTTTCTAAACAGGACTGGAGAATTCCAGCACCTCATTTAGCACCAAGGCTCTTTTTGTCCCAGGTCTGCAGCTTCATTCTTCTCAACACAGCACAGCAGAAGTAGTATTAATCCAGTTTGGGACATAGTGGATAGTGGGATTAGTGGGGAGGTATCTAGAGCCAGTGTTCCAGCATCTCAGTTTTGGGGCTCCTGTCTTGGAGCAGATAGAGATGTGGGTTTAGATATACCAGAATTGAAACTAGCAACATAATAAGTTTGCTTTGGCTTTCACCACCACGCTTCTATTTCTGCTGTGTTCCCTTCTACCCTGTGAGGCTTTGACTCAGTCATTACAGAAAATGATCTATCATTCTGTACACCTTTGCAGAGTGCATAGCATATTAAGGCCCTGACCTTACTGGCATGAAACTATGATTTCCCCCCAAGTGCAAAACAATAACGTTTCATTAATCATCCATAACAGAAATCCCCGTTCCCCAGACTACTGGCAATAATCTACATTTTTACTTGTCTAGGAACTTGAATTAAAGGGGAGAAAAATGGTTTACAACAGCCCGTGGCAGTGATGTAGCAAGAGCCTTTATGTAAGAGCTGGCGGAGAGCTGACGGTGTGAGGGTGAGGCGAGCAGCGAGCTGCTGGAAGGATGTTTCTCTGAGGTGTGTTCTGTGCTGGAGCTGGGAACAGCAGTCTCAAGGGCACAAATTCCAGCGCCTGAATGTGCTTGGTCTTGTTCAACTGATTCATTTCTTACAGCTATACCAAGCTGAGCTGCAAAATCGCCTCCTGCTTTACTCAAAGGCTTTCGCAGCTTGTGGATAAATTATTTTCCAATTAACTACGTGCTAGCTTGGAGCTGGAGGCTCTCAGAAGATGCAGCAAGGTGAGGGAGAGAAAAGAGTCACAGTCTTTGCAATGCTCCCATCAAAGAAAAGAGGTTCTGGTTCCTGCTCTGACATGGTCTGTCTTGGTGGTGCTTCCCAGAGCAGTGTGGGGTGAGTAAAACCCGTCTGCAGGTGCATCTGTGCAGCTGACAGATAAGCACTGACAGTGCTAAAGGTTTTCCCTGTGATTTGACAACATTGTAAAAGAGCAAACTTTTGCTTTAGTACATAATTCATGACTAACAGCTCTGATTCAAGCTGTTAAATCAAGTAAAACTTGAAAGTTCAAGATTTTCCCCACTTCAGGGAATCACCCTTTCTGAGCCTCCTAACCCGTGGAAAGGGCTCCAGGGTAGAATCACTGCAACTCACTGGATCTCTACAAATGACCCGATCTCTCCTGTACAAGTGGCAGCTTTTTCCCAGATCCCCCTACGCCATGAAAGTCTCTCACTTCTTTTAAAGATTACATGTGAAAAGCATTTGATTCTTTGTCGGTGACACCGCTTTGCGGCTCTGTTTTTACTGAATTCTTTTCGTTGGCTTAATCTGCAAATTAGATTTTTTTTCTCTTAACAAGTATTATCTAATGGAGGTTTTATTTGATCTCCTTGGGAAAAACACATACTAAACTGCTAAAGCATTTGTATGAGATTCTAAGACAAACCTTACCTTTAAAGGAAACTCTAGAAGATACGACTGGCATTTGCAGTACAGCATTAAGTAAGCATAACCACACACCTGCTGTGTACCTGGCCTGAATTCAGGTAACTACAAAAACTAAGATTCCACAGGAAGACACTGAGTTAATTGACGGGCAATTAAAGCATTTGAATACAATACAGCCAGGTGATGGATCCTCTGCACAGGATTGTCTCTGTTTGGGAATAATCCCAATCTCTGCACATCTTTTCCTTTGATTTTTCCTTTCACCACACAGGGAATTGGGGTGAACCATTGCGTGGGAGCAGAGGAGCACAGCTGAAATCAGGAGCCTCAGCCTGAGTTGCTCCTCTGCTGCTCAGCTCCCCGAGTTAGTTGTGTGAGATGATGAAAACGGAGTCTCCTTTTTGCTGGTAACTGTCATAATGAAGTCAAGTGGAAAAGTGCTACTTACCCTATAATAAAAAAAACATCTATTGTCCGTAGCCCTGAAAACACGATAATAAATAAAACCTCATCTTTCAGGCTGCGTAAACCAGTCGCTTATGTAATAGAACATGGTGTAATTTTCCACTTACAATCTCAAATACTGTAATAAGAAAGCAATCAAAGCACAAACAAGAAAGCCCTTTAAGTGGTGCTGCAGGTAATATTTCCGTAATGGCCGTCCCAGCAATTGCAACTGGTTTTTTTCCTCCCACCTCACATCATTTCTACTTATCTCATTCATTTAATTAAAAGAAAATCAACTTAAAACTGGTAAAAGACCACCTTAACCCGATTGCAGCAGCGGGCAGAGGAAAAAAAGAAGGCTGCAGCAGCACAACCCATGGGCAACACTGGGGTGCGATAAACCAACACCATCCCTCATCCTCCTGTCGGGATGAGACGTGAGGTTCTGTGCGGTGCCTGCTGTGCTGTGCACACATGGGCAACACAGCGTTTTCCTTGGCCTCGTGTGAGCCCCCCTGGTGTTGGGTGAGCATCCCTGGTCCTTTACTAACAAACACTCTGTATTTGCAGACAGATGCTGGATGCCACCAGGCGCCCTCAGCCAGGCCTGGCTCAGAACAGCAGCATAGAGCTGCTTTCCCTGCAAACACATCTGGCACCGATCTCTTAGTTTTGCTCTTTTCCCCTCTGTTTACAAACAAACGAATGCATTTTAAGAGGAGAAACCATCTTTCCCTCTGCTGATGTAAGGCAGCTTGCGGTGACCAGCACCCCCGGCCCTCACGTAGCCGAATTAGGAAATAACAACGCGATTTTGAGAACAACGTGCTTGATTTCCCTGAAGGGGCTTCGGCCCGACCTTCCCGCCTCCGTGGCGGGGTCTCCATGGCGGGGTGTGCGTGCGGCCTGCGGCAGTGACTTCACGGTCGCCCCCTCCATGTTGCCGTGGCGACGCTCTGCACCCCGCGCGGATGCGTCCCGTGTTACCATAGCGACGCTGAAGCTGTTTCCATAGCGACGCGTCCCCGCCTCCTCAATGAGGCGACGATCACATGTCCCGCTCTACGCGCACGGCACTCTCGCGAGAGCGGTGAGGCCCGGCGCTGCAGCCATGTCTACCGCTATGAACTTCAGCGCCAAGAGCTTCAAACCGCGGCCGCCAGACAAGGGCGCCTTCCCGCTGGATCACTTCGGTGCGGTAACGCGGCTCGCCGCCGGGCCCCGCTCCCCGTCGGCTCCGCGCGGGCCCCAGCCCGAGCCCGGCGGTAGCGCGACCCCCGCCGTGTGTTGCAGGAGAGTGCAGCGCCTTCAAGGAGCGCTTCATGCAGTGCCTCCGCGACAGCGGCTTCGAGAGCGGCGCGTGCCGGGAGCGCGCCATGGCCTACCTGCAGTGCCGCATGGACAGGCAGGTGGCGGCCGGGGGCGCGCGGGGCTGCGGACACGCGCAGCGCGTGCTCTGACGCAGCTGTGCCTTCCGCTTGCAGCAGCGCGCGGCCCGAGGGGCTGTGTGGTGAGGGCGGGAGGAAGGCTGTGGGGAGGAAGGCTGTCTCGATGCTGCTGACCCCACTGACGTTTCTGAGGCTTTGCCAGCCGCTCTGCGTGCCTCGGGTTTCTCTACAGCAAGTAGTAGGAAGTGAGGCAGGAAACGCTGCTGTTCTGTGTGTTACGCGGTGTGTTCTGCAAAATTGTTGTTCCTGTTGTTTCCAACGTAGGCAGCTCATGGCTAACGAACCACTGGAAAAGCTGGGATTTAAAGATCTGCTGGATGAGAAGTCGGAAGCAGAACCTGGGAAACAGTGACGAAGAAAGAACTTTTCCTCTCTCTGCTTTACCTCACGTACGGGAGGAGTAACTCCTGTGTAGTACGTATTGGGCCTGTATTGCAACAGGAAGTGCTTTGGGGAGGATGTTTTTCTTCCACAATATTCTTTTTTCAAATCAGATTGTTAAGGTGAGCCAAAGTGCTGCCTTTGTTGCCTTTCCTCCTCCAGCCTGCTCCTAAAGGTCACTGTAGCACTTCACGTGGCAGCAAACAGTGGTTGCTGAAGTGTTCTCCGTGTCTGCAGGGGCAGTAAGCTCTTGCTTTAAAAAAATGACAGCACAACAACCCTCCACCTCAACTATAGGTTATTGCTATGTGGGCATTACTAATCTGCCTGCAGCAGGCACCTTTCGGGTGGAAATAAAGCTGTTGTGGTACTTGCAAATTTCTATTTAATTTTCTTTTTTTTGGGTGATCTCCTTTCCAGGCTGCATTTCCAGCATCACCAGTAGGTTTTTATTTACCATGCCAACGTTTGACCTTTATTTCATCATTTAACCAGTAGTTGTTCGTTACAGTTGCCTTTGTTTCTCCACTTAGTGCTGCCATGTTATTTTTCACATCCTTATGGTGAAATCAGAGGGAAGATGGCAATGGTATTTATTGGTCTTTGAAGTAAATGTGAATTATTTATATAAAGACGTCTGGACTTTTCTTTTGAAAGCATGTTTTTTGGGATGCACACACTTAGCTGGTTCTCCTACACTTCTTTGTTTAGTGGCCTCTGTTTGGTACATCCAGCCATTCCTGTTTCTGTTTTCAGAGAGATCCAGGAAAGAGTAAAATAATACCCTCTGCTCTTCACGTTAGTGGGGGGAAATGAGATTTAAATTGTGGCCCTGGTCTGGTCTGAGCAGAACGCAGATAGTTCAGAGCAGATTTCTGTTTGAAAAGGGCATTCTGTTTGCTTTCTGCTGCGTGTTTTTAGTTTGCTTCATTCCTCTGCTTAAATTCTGTCTTTTGATGAGATTATAAAAAAGAAAGCAGAGATTCTATTGCTGAAACAGACGTTAAAAGACTTCATATTAAGCTGAGGAACAAAAGCCTTCTTTTAGTGATGCTGAATAAAAAATTAAAGTAATTGCCAACATCTTCAGATGAAAGAAATCAAATTTCATGGTTCCCTGCTCCATGATTATTGTGAAGTGACGCACCTAGGAGGGGTTCAGAAAACCACCAGTAGTGGGGAATACTCAGAGGTTGTTACTTCTTTCTTAGGCTACTCTGCATGGGAATCCGAGCAAACAGTTGCTTTGTGTTTTTCTTGAGACAGTTGATACTGTAACTGTAGAATAGAAGGGGTGATGATCCAGAAGTCTCCAGTGAATGAATGTTGCCAGCAGAGCTGGAGTGACAGACAGTGCACTTAAACTGCAGCTGAGGGAGGAGCCGCTGTGACTCTTAGAATGGCAGAGGCCCTGACTCTGGACCTGGTGCAGGAGGGACTGTGGGAGCAGAAGTAATTTCTAAGTACTGCACACCGTGCCAAAGGAAACAATGCTGTGTGCTACTTGTCTGCCTGCAGTTCTACCGTGGCACCTTGGTGATGTGGCCAGCAGGACCCTGTGTGCCACGGGCTGACTGTGCTGCTCATCTGCCAAATGGGCGCAGTGTGCTTCATCCTGCACACAGCAACTGCAGAAGTGGAATTGCCATCCCAGCAGGGATGGGAACTCTGCACCTCTCACCAGCCTGTAGAAGATAACATCACCTGGATCCACAGTACATCTCATCCTGCCTCCCAGCGCGGTGACTCAGCTTCACAGCACAGTTCCTTTCTTGCCAGGACAAGACCAAGGGCTGTGAGTGGATAGATGAAAACTCAGGAAATTGACAGGAGCATCTATTTCCTGGCTGTGAGGCATTAGCTGGAGAAGATAGTATGTTCTGTGGAATTGTGAGGTGAGTTCAAAGTTGGTGAGGGCTATCAATTTTGTTCAATTGAGATCTAATGTAACTGAGAAGTGGTGGAAAAATCATTAATCAGTGCTGAGCCCGGGGTCGAACAATCCTGACTTGCTCTGATGACAAGTCATTGCAGCACCGGAGCCATGAGGGGGAAGTTCTTGGAATTCAATTCATTCCTGCCAACACACAGACCATTAATTAAAACCTTTCTCTAAAACTTGTTTATTTTAGCTTTGCTTGTGGGATCAAGTTTTGTGCTTCTTTACAATGACAGCAGTACATTAAGCCAAACAGGAGTCATAAGTTTGTAGCTAATCTTTCCTGTACTGAGGGGGAAGCTCTCCAGAAGCTGACACTGGGTTGGGTAAGTTTATTCTGGAAGTGCTGAGCTGAGGCTCAGTGTGTGTGATAACGAGGGGGGGCAGTTTTGTCAGGGATGCTGATTTCTTTATGTACTTGTTCAGAGTTGATGAGCTGCTCTGCTGTGTGTGGCTCCAGGAACGAGGTGAGTCCCACACAAGTGCTTTAATCTTCATGTGAGAAGCTGGTGAGTGTGCCTGTTTGCACTGGTGCTGCCTTGCAAAGGCTGCCATGAAGCACCACCTGCTGACGGTCCCTGGGACTTGGAGAAATGCAAACGGTTGCAAAATGATGTTCAGCATGGATTAATGTTGAAAATGCCTGTTGAGATGTGATGGTACAGGTGTGGAAGGCATAGCCTAAAGCAGGAGGAAGTGCTGACTGTGTTGGAATGAAGATCTATGTAAGCTGTTAAACAATAATAGAAAACAGTGAGTAAGGGGGCTGTGATAGTCTTTCCTGGAGGTTTTTTTTTTCCAGCTAAACCTCTGTTATAAAATAACTGTAGGTGCTCTGCTGCGTGGGATCCTGTCCTGGGGAGTCCCCAGAGGGTTCCTGGTCAGCAGTGCTGTGTGTGCTGGCACTTAGGAAAGCCTTGCACACACGTAACCCCCTTTCTTTGTTCACTTAGAATCAGTTCAGCCACAGAGTTTAACCTTGGTCACTGCAGTTATTTACAGAAAGAGAGCCCTGCTGCAAGCCAACCCTTTTTATGTCTTCCTGGAAGACTTTGAGCTCTAGGTGTATCTCCAAACAATAGCAATGAGCTGCAGAACAAGGAAGAAAGAGTTTAATAAGCAATTTCAAGGCTCTTAGAGTTCTTTTGACTTTAAAAAACAAAACAAAACAAAACAAAAAAGCACAAAAGCCTGTGCAAAGAGAGCCTCCTATGGTTGTGCTGGAAGGTGGGCCGTGGTCCCAAGTCTTGTACATAAGCAGAGTGAGCTTGTGCCTCTGTGGTAAGGAAGGGTTGTTCCCCTTGGAGGAGGGGTAGCAGGTGTAGCAGAGGGGCTGTGCAGTCAGTGCAGTTATGGACAGGCTGTGGGTGCAGCCAGCTGACCTTGCAGTTCTTGAATCCTCTCCCAAATTCTTCCTGGTTTGTTCTACCTGCTCATACTGACTCAGATTAAGCAAACAAAAGACTTGAGGAAGGTACCTGCAAGGGTTACTTTCCCTTTCCTGGGTGTTTCAATGGGAAAAGATTAATCAGACATCCAGTTTCCAGTTCTTTTTTTCTTTTAATGACTGCTTCTCTGAATAGCTGGTAATGCTGCATTTCCGTCAGGATGCAGCAGTTTTCTCGCTAGCAGATTTCAAGACAAAATGCTTTCCTTCTGGTGCCATATGGCTTGAAATGCAAAAGTGATCACTGCTAGAAATAAGATCTTCATAGAAAGTCACCTAGAAGTTAATGTGTGTGTGCAGAGGGCTTGATAAACCTTGGTGCATCTTTTTTATTTCTTGGGACTGACAGTGACACGGAGAGGTTTTTTGACTTCTTATAGGGACTGATGCTCATGTTCTCTCCCTAGCATTGCACAGACTGTTTCACCACTGGGTTGTTTATTCCCTGTATTCCAAGAGATCTTGGGACTTGCATCAGCTGGTACATTAATTTCGTATTTGCTGATTCCTGCTGGGCTTGGTTGCGGACAAGTGTGGCATTCGTCACATAGCCCAGCAAAAGCCAGTTAGCTCTGCAATTGTAGAGCTTCAGTGGGCTGAATCCAGTCTGTGCTGTTCCAGCTCTGGTGGGATTGTACCTGTCTGAATGAACAATCTTTCCCAGCTTCCACACAGAGTAAGGCAGGTTCCACCGATGTGGAGGAACACTGTGGTCCGTGTGCTGCATCCTGCTGGCTGATAATGAATGGTGCCTTACACCACCCGGAGCTGCAGGTGCTCTTCTATTCAGGTCTGTTATGAATATTCTGTTCATAATATGAATTACGAGAAACTGAAAGCAGCAGTAAAGTAGCCTCACAAAAAGAAAGTGGGGTAGTGAAGTATCCAGAATGATTCAGGCTTCTCACTTGATGATTTTAAAAAGTAGGCAGTGGTGGCTGCTTTTGCAGCCAGTCCCTTTGGGCAACTGAGCTCTTTGACTATTTTAGTAACTTTCTAGGAGCTGACAGCTCCAATTTCTGCAGGATTTCTGGTGTCCTCAGTGCCAAGAAGCCCTGCTTCAGCAAGAAATTCTTAACGCGCCTGGTTTTAATCTCGCTTGTGAACCTGCTAATGGAGGAGGGCATATGGGAAGGCAGTCGCATGGAGGAAGTGCTCTGGAAAGCAGTCAGGCCCATTTTGGGGTTGTTCAATTTGCATTTCTTCGTTACCAAACTGTTCTGAGTTTCAGCAAGCTTAGGAGGCGCTGCATCTCTCCTCGGGACAAGGCAGGAGATCACAGCGCTGCAGAATCTGGGATGCTGGCTGAATCTTCAGATGCCTTGAAGATGTGATGTGATGCTGTGGGCTGCAGGATGCTTCAGGCCTTGCAAGTGCTCAGCCGAATCTAATGTCAAATCCTGACTTTGTTGAGAGGACCAGGATTTATGGAGACCTCACTAGCATCAATGCCCCTGCATGGATCATCTGCTCTCGTACAGCCTGTACTCAAATTCTTTTGCTTCTCTAGCAGAAGTGGTGGAACTGCTGGTTTGTGGGTGAGATCCTGCTCTATTGAATCTATTGAAGAGCCAGGATTTAATTCCCAGAAAGCAGTTCTGGCAGTAGGTGCATCTGGCTTCCTCGTATGGGGATATGGTCAGTGGGACCATCTGTGTGCAGGACAAAGACAACCACAGTCAGGTACCACACTGTTTTGTGATGCAGGGTGAGCAATTTCTGGTCAAAGAGTCAAATGCTGAGCTCACAGACTGCTGAAAAAGAACCAGGTGGGTGAAAAATGAGAGCATGTTCAGAACATCTCATTCCACCCTTTCAAGGCTCACACCAGGAGACCTGCAGGTGTGGTAGTGCCAGCTAGAAGGGCTCGTTGAAGCAGAGAGATGTCTGGATTGATAGCTTTATTTTGGCTTATTTTAGCAAATAGTAAGGGGGAGGAGGGATGTTTATCACTGAAACTGATGCTGCCTAGTACTTCAGATCACAGCTCTAATAGGTTGGACTGGCTGAGACTAAATCACATTAGCAGCATTAATAACACAGGGTGGCTGGTAAGAAAACCTGCTATGGCAGCACTAAGCTGGTCCTCTGCTTCTTTGATTCAGGTTGGTGCCACTGCTCAGGGCTGCTTTGGTTATTAAAGCTCTTTCACAGAAGTCACCTGGGCAGCTGCTTCAACTCAGCACTGAAATGGCTGTTCTGTCACTCTCTCCCCTGCCGTTCCCCAACCTGGCTTGGGCTCATTT